TTCGGAGATACGATTTGAAGTTGATGTCAAAGTGGTCATTGAGAAGATCCTTAGTTCTGATACCCGGGATAGTCGGATGGGTGCAATTCTTGAAGAGACCGACAATTATTTGTGACTCATGGTGGCCTTAGTGTACGATTTGTAGGTTGTTGTAACAATAGGATAGCTCATTTGATGGCTAGAAATGCCATTTCATTGTACCCCACTGCGAGTCACTTCTTTTATTTCCTAGCCTGGATTAATTTCGTAATTATCTATTTCACCAATCAATATATATAATTATCTTTTATAAAAAAAAGTCACCCCTTATAATTTTTTCCGTTGTCCTATAAATCATTTACTATTGGTGAATGCTCAATTATTTTCAGGGAACATAAATTTTTTTACTAATATAAAAAATCAATTATTTTTATTTCAATTCGTCTTGATTGTATAAGACTCCAACAATATGCATTGGTTGGGGTTGGACGAGTTTTAGATAAAAATTATCCACCCACAACTAAGAGAGTGAAATTAAACATGACCCCAAATATACGTTGGTGGTTTAATGTGGTTTAGTAGTGAGTTGGATTGGTGAACATAGTTTGCATAATTTTAAAATTGGTCTTCATATTGGAAACAAACCATATGAGTGGGAGTGAGTCGACCGGTCAAGTCTACCATCTCCCCTTACGGTACATTAAATTCCCAAACTCCTCGACTACATTCGACTCACTCCCACTTGTATTTTGATCGATTGTTCTAGAAGCCACCTCAACCACCAACATTGCCACCTTATACAGTTGGTAAGATTTTGTTAAACGAAATTGGGCAGGTTCTACGAGTCATCCGCCCAATATTCATCCCTAAAATTCCACAAATTCTCAATAGTTTCACATTATCATCGGGGAATCCACACCGCATTTTGCAACGAGAGATACCAACTTAAAAGAGTCATATAATCTATTGAAGAAAAAAACAATCAACAGCATTCCTAAACTAATATTAACTTATCAACATTGTTATGATCTATTCATTTTTAAACCCCCAACCCTTACATAATAATGTGGTTTTGGATGCTATCGATAGCATTCGATCTAACAATCAACTCAACCACTCATTTCTTTTCTTAATTTTTCTCATTATTGTCATTGTTATTCTTTTCCCTCTCATAGTTTTCATCTCCCACCGGATTTTGCAGTTAGACCAACAACAAGGTATTTGTTTGTTTGACGGCAAGCCGTTTCCTTTTTAATTAATAAAAATATAAAGTATAAACCCCGCCTCTCCAATGATAACTGGAATTTGGGAAAATGCCCAAAATTTCACATTAATAAATAATCCCACATTATAATTAATTCTGTAATCCTTACAAAAAATAAACCATCAACTAGAAATAGATAATTTAAAAACGAGGGGGTTAGCCGCTAGCGTGCGAATGCGGACACGTGTAATAGCATCAACGTGTCTCTTTCACCTAACACCCCCCGTCGGCTTCTCTCTATAGTCTACTAGAAATAACAAAGGAGAAAACCAAACCTCCAACGAACCGCAATTAGGAAACCAACTTTCTTTCTTGTTCATTGAATTGGATACTAGATTGGTTTCATATAATAATATTCATAATAATACATTTAATTAAACACATCTGGTGGCAGTTAACTAGTACGTTGATCAACTTAACAATCTAAATTATGTTATGCTATTGACTATTGTGCTGTGGAGATTGCTGATTAGTTTAATGTGGAAGGAGGGAGAGGTAAAACATTCGACACTATCTCAAATTTTACTTTGTAAATCATATAATACAAAAAACATTTGCATTACTTAGTTGTTGATGATCATTTGTGAATTATGAATATTAGAGTATGTGTAGTATGAGTAATATTGTGTTATATTATGAGTACTCTTATCTAATTTGGCAGAGTTATATTTCTTATTAGGGTCGTATAAGTTATGTAATTTCGTATTAGTGTTAGGGTTATTATAGAAGCCAGTTTTTGTACTCTATATAAACCCTATGTGGTTTCAGTAATAAGTTACAACAGTTTCCACCGTATTTTGATTTATCAACAATGACATCACAAAATACCTATATGCATAATTTGTACGACTGTAGACAATAATAACGGATTAACTTCTACAATTTCACATTTATTCATCACATGTAGACTCGTGCTTGGTAATCAAATGGATTCAAAATTAATTTTTTTCTATCTTGGATAGAGCAAGCAATTTCTGCGATGAAAATTTGCTCATAAAAGAGAGTTACAAATTACAAAAGTTCTGTATCGAAAAAGGCACTATTAATTGAAAAAAATGAGATTTCAAACTAAACGAATATTGAAGTATATTCCGATTAATATTGATATAACACCATGGTGCGAGTAAATTCCAGCCACCGTACACTCAACCATCCGACATGTAAATCAATGCACATCGTCCGAACAGTACTCGTCTAATAGGCGATATTTCCATAACGGCCGCACAACGTAGAAACAAGATTTTCGAGCTAGCCAGAAACGATCTTTCTTGTTCAAAAACAGTCTGTCTTTACTATTGGAACATACTAATAAGTATACACGCTCAATGATGGCTGGGGGATGATTAAATCTCCATGTAGTTTAGATTCATGAACACAAGAGCAAATAATTAATGAGAATTAATTTCATGTAACTTGGCAAGTGTCAACAATCACCATCATGACCAAACAAGAAACCCAACAAAGGCAGCCTTAAATTAGTCCTTGTGCAAACCATGAACAACCATTTAATTAGAAATTCCACATAACAGAAAAGAACAAGAGGAGGGAGGAAGACATGGGAGCTAGAGAAGATTGCTTTGGCTGGTGGATGCTTAATTTGGAAGGAGAGGGGTTAAGAGGGTGTTTTCCATGTTTGGGAAGGAAGGGAGGCAAAGAGATCGAGTTTACAGGTCCACCAAACTGGTAGTTGGAAACCTCTATCTCTTCTCTTTGCTGTAATAAAACCAGAAAGAAAAAAAAAGAAAGAAACAAACCAGTAAGTCGTTAACGGCAGCAATGAGCAAACAATAACACCTAAAATAAAACAAACCATTTATTGGAACAACAAGGCAACCACCACGCTGCCTGGCTTCATCGCCAGCCAGCCCGACGCCAATCCTCGGCCTGCTTCCCACCATTCCTTTTGCTTTCTTGTCGATGACACTACGTGGAACCCTAGTTTCAACTTGTTCTTCCCAGCTAGCTGCTGCTGCCTATCGCATGTGAAACACGCAACGGAAACACATATCCATTTTCTAGTTTCGATGGAATCATATCAATGGATACGCAAAAGAAAATGAATACTCGATTCTAATAGATCCATTTTGATCTGATCCGAATGAGTTGACCCAAGTCGGACCAAATTTAAACTCAATTTGAATTCATATTTGTTAAAAGTGCATTTGAGTTCGACCTAATACCCATATGTGTCATGACAATTGGGTCAAATTAACCAACGAGTCGACCGATCAAAATTTTTTCGTCCAACATGGCAGTAACTGCTCCTTTTTTAAGAACACCAAACTTCGAATGAATATAATATGCATACCGACTTTGGGCTTATCGTTGTACATGGTAATAAGATCGTTTGACTATTAATAACCACTACTTGGTATATCTAGTCAAATACGAATTCGTCCCAATAACTCAACTGATTAGAAATAATTTTTTTTAATTAGTCTTAATTAATATATGGTTCTCGCATGACATACTTGATGGCTTTTATTTTAATTTGTTAAAAAAGTGTACGAATAAAAGGGTATAAAATAAAATTAATAATAATGAACATCTTGGTTAGAGTGACGAAACTTAAATATGTTAGTAATATATAATTTTAATATTCAAGATTGTATATTTTGTGGGAGAGAGGGTCCCTTAATTCTTGGTGATTAGGAGGAAATGAGGAATAGAATAAGGGAGTTGGTGGTGCCCGGATTTTGGAGCAATATGCGTAGGCTTTGCTGCTCGGGAAAAGCTTAAAAAATCGATATAATACCATGACTGGTCGCTTCCCCATATTATAATAAGGTCTCTATTCCGTTAACAACCACAGCAAATTTCCTCCAGCATTTCTTGTGGATACATTGTTTCCATATTTTTGCTCAATACAAAATTATGAAAGGTAGCATACTTAATCAAAGAGTTTGTATGGAAAACTTTGTAGCAAGTAATATCGTGACCATTTGGATTTAATTCGCTAGAGTAAATATGTTTGCGAATAGTTGAAGTTTAACGAATTCACCCAGTCCTCCTGTATTCCTTCCATTTTTTATGTGTGCGTCTCAATTCTTTCCAATATTTTCTTGTACATCTTTCATTTCTCATCGTCCTCTCTATTTCGAAGTGATTTTTCATTGTTTCAGAGACTAGTATAAAAATTGATATATCTGTTTCACACTACTATAATCATAATTCTTAGATGTTAGACTACAATATCACATCTAAGTCTCTCGATTGAATTCACTCCTAAACTTTTAAGTTTAAATCAATACACATTTTCTTCATTATCTGAAACCTTTTTAGTTATAATTACGATTTGATAGAGTCATTCAAGACTTTCTATTTGATCATCTAAAAATTCCATTAAACATTTCAAAACCTCAAACCTGGGTAAATGCCACATTTGGTCACTGGGATTACTAAATCTTGTTATATTTAGTCACTAGAAAAAATTAATATCAATTTTGGTCACTCGAATTACTAAAACAGGTCACATTTAGTCACTCTCCTGCTAGCCTCCGTCCAACTCCGGTCACTCGAATTACTTTTTTTTATGAATGTCACTCGAATTACTGAAACATGTCACATTTAGTCACTTTTCGTTAGCCTCCGTCGAACTCTGTTAATGAAGTTGGACAGAAACTAACGGGAGAGTGACTAAATATGACATGTTTCAGTAATTTGAGTAATCAAAATTAATATTAATTTTTTCTAATGGCTAAACATGACATGATTTAGTAATCTCAATTACCAAATGGCATTTACCCTCAAATCTAGAGCTCCTTTTCCCATTTTGAAAATGAAAACCCTTTTTTCTTTTACTCATTTTCTTTTTAAGTTTGGCATGGATTTGTTGAGGAATAATAATTAATTGGGTTGGTGTCAATGTTTCCAATGATAAGGAAGGAGTTTGGTTTTTATTAAGTTAAGAGGGGGAAGGACGATATCTCTTGGGATTGGTGTTTTTGTGTTTGTTTTTTTGTCTTCCTCTCCTCTCCCCCACACCTCCAACCCAATGTCTTCTTCGATCACGCGCATTCCATCTTCACTTGCCACCATTTCCCTTCTTCTTTCAGGTAATCTTCCTTTCTTTCATTCCCTGCTTCCTGCTTCTTCTTCTTCTTCTCTGCTACTTTTACTTGATCATCATCTCCAATCATTTGTTCTGACTCAAAAACATAAAAGGACTCCATAAAGGTTTCTTCTCATCCCTTCCCAACTCTCTCTTTCTCTCATAAATTCACCATCTCCATAACCAAAGATCATGAGCTTCATGATCATGGTGATGATGATAGTTCCAATCGTTGAGATCTAGAGACACACAGCACGAAGCAGTTTGTTTTCTCGGTTACTTGTTTTTTTTTTTTTTTTTTAAGTTTCCCCTCTGGGATTGGTCTAATCTTGAAGGGTTTCTATTGGGTGTTTGGTGGGCTCTTCTTCTTTCTTCTGAATTCTCTTGCCTTCCATGGTGTGCTCTGTTTTCTCTGTTTTTGCTCTGTTTTCAGTCCCTTCCTTCACAAAGAACGATTAATTGCCAGGTACCCACAAAATGATTTTGGTCATCTCTATACTTGACTTGCTACTAAAGCTTATATATTTTTCTTTCTATGGAGAAATCATGATTAGGTTATCATAGGTCAAACCTAAGGGTAATCGGTTCGAGAACCCTTCATTAGATATAAGACTTTGTTTGTATTTCGATCCTTTATATTGGTGCAGGGTATGATATGATTGATTGTGCCTAGGGTTAATAATGTTTTCTTTGATTCATTTCTCATTCATATGAAAACCCTCCTCCTGTTTCCTCATCAGGATGCGTCAGCAAGAGCAATATGACCTGTAAGAAGGAAGCATAGTTGGATTCTCCCACCATTTTGGAGACTAAACAAGAGAATAACAAAGTGGAAGCAGCTAGCTAGCTAGCTTTCAGATGATGGCTACATACTATTCAACAATCAGCAGCAGTCCAACGGACAACTTGCAGACACAAACTTCATCATCGTGTCAATTGGAAACCAATCTCCCTAATAATTCCCACCTCAACACCATCTCCATTTGTTCATACTCGGACATCCTCTCCGGAACCACCACCTCTCTATCTCCCCACCAACCCCACCACCACCACCACCACGCCGATGAATTCTCAAACTCACAATTCGGGACGACACGCAACAACAACGAGATGATGTTCATCCCGCCCATGAGCAGCGAGACTCCACAAGATTTGCATCCACACGACGTGGATGCAAATCTGGCCGCGGCGGCGGAGGAGCACCACGCGGGGTTCCACATCCAAGGTGGGCTCTCTCTGAGCCTCGGAACCCAAATGGACGGTGGCGAGGTCCCCTCGTTTCATCACTATCAGTACTCGGTCTCGGAGCCGACAGAGGAGTTGATCATGCCTGCTTCGTTGGGGAAATGGAACAACCACGGAGGAGAGAATGTGATTAAGATGGAAGGAGGTGGTGGTTCGATGAATAATCCTACCGATCATTTCCTGCAAGGGAGCGAGAACAATAACGCCGTTGAGGTTTATGAGACATTAGGGTATGCAAATGTTTCGTTGTTGAATTCTAGGTACCTCAAGGCGACACACGAGTTGTTGGACGAGGTTGTTAATGTGAAGTATGCTCTGGCGGCAAGGGGTGACCAAGGGAATAAATGTTCGGATGAGAATAAGGAGGGAAACGATGGGGTCGCATCGGGTGAGTCAGGTGGTGGCAACTCGTCATCGCTCGATTTGTCACCATCCGAGAAACAGGATTTGCAGAGTAAAAAGAGCAAGCTTGTGTCCATGATCGATGAGGTAATATGATTTCAATTTCTTCAAAGCTTCTTTAGTCCTTTAGGAATTTTTTTTACTTCTCTCTACTTAGCACTCTTAAATTTAGTGTTCCCATATGGAAACTAAACCCTCCTCCTGTTCTCCCCACTAAGTTTAGATCATTCTTTCACACAATTTTCAGTTCAAGTTTTTTCATGCGGGTTATATGATCTCATACTTAGCTTCATTTTTATGATGAAATTCAAATAACCCTAACTAAACTTACTTATTAGGTGGACAGGAGGTACAAGCAGTACTACCACCAAATGCAAGCTCTGGTCTCATCCCTAGACATGGTCGCCGGCAACGGCGCCGCTAAATCATACACAGCCCTCGCACTGCAGACGATCTCCCGCAGATTCCGGTGCCTTCGCGACGCGATCGGAAGCCAAATAGACGCCATCAGGAAGAAGCTAGGCGAGCCAGAAGCCTCCCCCAACGGCAGCTGCATCCCGCGGCTCCGGTACGTGGAGCAGCAGCTTCGGCAGCAGCGAGCGCTTCAGCAGCTCGGCGTCATGCGCCACGCTTGGCGGCCTCAGAGGGGCCTCCCGGAGAACTCCGTCTCAGTTCTCCGGGCCTGGCTCTTCGAACACTTCCTCCACCCGTATGTCAAACTAGGATCCATGTTTATTATCATACAACTTTTTTTTTATCTCCTTTGTTTCTTTATCTTATGTTTGTCAAAGCCATTGATCATGGTTTTGTTAATGTTGCCTTGCGTTCTCCAGGTATCCAAATGATTCGGAGAAGCTAATGCTAGCAAAGCAGACAGGGTTGAGTAGAAATCAGGTGGCCAATTGGTTTATAAACGCCAGAGTGCGGCTATGGAAGCCAATGGTGGAGGAAATGTACAAAGAAGAGTGCGGTGGATCCGGCGACTCAGACGCCAACTCCAAGTCATCAAACGACGAAGCCAACAGAATCCACGGCGGCGGTGTTGCCGTGGATCACAATCAACTACACCTTCATCACCATCATTTAGTAGTAGACGAACACGATCTCCAAGACACCGCAGTAACTCCGTCACCATCATTAGCCACCGATCACCACCACTTCCTCCACCACCACGGTTCTTCTTCCATCATCAGTTTCCACCAGGGGACGACAACACAGCCGCGGCAGCGATCGGAGATCGACCTGGACCACCATGGGTTGCAGCATTATGTGGTGGCGGAACAGAGTACTCTGCCTCTCAACCTAAATGCAGGGGACGGCAGCTTGATGTCTGCCGCCGTCCAATACGGCGGCGTCTCGGAGATGAACGCTGGACTGCTCCCCCACCACCATGTATCTCTGGCGTTGGGATTGCAACACAATGAAACCGACGGCGGCGGTGATGAGTTGGTGGATTACCATGATTGCTTGGATGGCAAGGCACAGGACCAACATCACAGGTTTGGAAACACGGTGCATCTGTTGCACGATTTTGTAGTGTCCAAGAACCCTTGCTTCTAGCTCAAGGTAACGCAAGTTGTTAGGGGGGATTTTTGTGGGGGATTGTGTGGATATAGATGCACAAGATTTGAAGGGCGGGGATGATCGTTTTAAATTTCTTCGTTCTTTTGGCTTCAACTTTTGTGTACATACATGTAATGGTGCTATGATATGTTCATGTATGTTTCTTTCCCACCATGACTTGTAACATATAGGAATAGATTGGAGGAAGAGTATAGTTGAAGCCGGGTATACTTGTAAAGATGGGGAACAAAGGGGGGAAATGTAGAACATGGGGCTTGTGATCTATTGTAGTTTTTGTTGTTGAAATAAGGCAATTTTGTGTAAAAATTGTTGAAGATTTCAAGGTTGTGAATGATGATAAGTTTTCCAGGTGTACTGGAGTAATGAATACATTGAGCAAGGGAAAGAAGAATGTGTGAATTTTCAGAAATCCCTAATCAGAAATCTCAAGTTACAAGATGTTCCGTAAATGAGATTTAATCATACTAGGTTGTCAAATTTTGTGTTCCTCAATTTTGGAGGATGAAAAGGAGAAAAGAAGCGGTTAAGAGTTTTGTTTGAGTTTGAATTTGACAAATTAACGTTGTCATATCGTCGAATCGATATAGTAGTATCAAAATAGTTTTAGGGGTCGTTTGGTTTCTGTGATTGTTACAATGCTTGTATTTTTTACAATTCATCATTTTCCTGTTTTTTTTATGCATAGACAAAACATGTATTGTTTACTTGATGTGGCAGAAACAATCATCCATTATGAGTGATTGTACAATCTCACCTAAAAGCTTAGATTGTTGCGATTGTCTAGTTGAGATTGTTTTCTTCTAACTTTAACCTTTAGAAATTATCTTTTGCATTGAAAAGAAGGGTACAAGTGACAATTCTATTAAAAACGACTTTCCTTTTTACCTATTGAAAACACATACACATATACCAAACGATGTAATCTACAATACATCAAAGTTGTAGTTCTTCACAAATCCAAATATTTTTGGAAAAAATATATATTTTTGGGTATACGGGATCTAGGGAATAATTTTGTCTTTACTTTTCACAAATCCACATACATTCAAAAATTATGATTATGATCAAAGTTGTAGTTCTTCAAAAGTTATGTGAAATAATAATAATAATAAAAATTCATGACATTCGGATTGCGGAACACAAAGTTATGGTCTTCCAAAGATTGTCAAAATCGAAAAATTGCTCGTTCGGAGGCCTAAGTTCAGGTCCTTAAACCCTTTTTTTAAGGAGGATCTTAAAGCATTGTGATTGGCTCATTTAATTTTAAGTAGTTAGTAGGGAGTAATTAGTTAATTAGTTGTTAAGGGTATTTAGGGAATCCATACGTAATTTTAAAACTAAAATAATTAAACCTTTTATTCTCTAAACTCGCATCTTATTCCTTCCTCCGAGCCGAACCGTTTCTCTCCTCTGAATGTATCCGCCAAGCAAAGTTCTCTGCCCGGCGTTTCGGCTCCCGTCACGATTCTCCGCCCCTCGTTTATGCTTTCAGTACGGTCCTCTACAACGGCGACGACCTACTTCTCTAAATCAGTTGTGGCGTCGGTTCCATTGGCAGCGCTCCCCCGCTCCCATCGTCGACCGCAATGTACGTCAGTCTCTTGCCGACACCAACTACCTTGTTACGGCCGAGACATCTGTCAATAACGTCTTATGTATTTCGGACGGGCGTAGCCTACCTCTGGATTCGCTCCCGTCCAGCGTAGCCTGCCTCCACAGTCGCTCCCTTCACTCCCGTCGGGCGTAGCTTACCTTCGGCGGGCCGATTCGTTTAAGAAGGAAATTTTGTTATAATATGTTGTTTTGGTACGTAGTTTAGGTTTTTCCCGTTTGGTGTGCATGGGTTTGGGGTTTTTCTTTCACCATTATTATTATTTTTAAGGTTGTTATCAATATTTTCTTACGGGCGATGTTTTAAATCAATGGTGTGATTAACATGTCCTATTGTGGGCTTTTTGTCATTAATATTATTATTTTCAACGGCCATTATCAATTCTTTAAACTTGCACTATTATTAATCATTCGTATCATGAACGTGTATTGTTATTAGTCTCGGTTTATTATTAATGTTTCTTTGCCAATTAATAATATTTTCACCGCCATTATCAACATTTTTTTACATGCACTTTTACTACCCTTGTTGAATTAACATGTACTATAATTAATATATTATCATTGTTAACGTTTACTGTTCCATTATTAATATTTTCCATCGCATTATCAACAATTTTAGAGTATTCCATGAAGGGAGATTGGACAAGGCAAGGTTAACCGTGATGGCTTTTTGCTGATGAGCCACTTATTCCTGTTCCCATTGATCAAGCTTTGATGGTGTTAAGGTTGCGGACAAGCCATAGGTACACCTTGTACCGGCCAAGACAAATCCTACGTTTGCAACATGAAACATCTCAGTATCCATTGTGATTCCATCGTGTCCTCTGTCCAAGTTGTTAACAACATCTTGGCCCTCGAAGTTTTCGTCACACGACATTTCATTCAGATATACATCGTTGCATATATATACTTATCAACAACGTTATAATAAATTACAGTTATGCTCTTAATAATATTCAACCACCTCATCAACAAATATTATCAAACATTACTTTCGATCACAACACTATGACAATACGTTATTAAAAGAATAAATTTACATTTTTAATAATTTTCAGCAACCTTGTCAACCCATAATATTACACCTTTACAAAAAGATTAACTTATTTCCATGACTTATTAACATTTTTATATTATGTTATAAATACGTTATCAACCAAATTGAAAAGAGAACTCTAGTACCTATCAACAATATCAACTCATATTATTACACCTTAGTAACCGACCACTCGACTATTATTAACTATATCGAGATTTCTTCTTTTTCAACCTAAATAATATAACGTTAATAAATGATTAGTAACAAATTATTAAGATTTGTTGGGCAGTTATTAACATTGCGACCTAACGTTATTAATGTCTATTCTGTGTATAATGAAGACTATACAATCATTATTATTAGCCTTCCATACAAAGTATCATTAATGATATACACAAATCTTATTAAAAACTTGTTAATAATAATGGCTAACTTACTTAAAAATAATGATAAATAACTTACAACCACAATATACGCTTAATAATGAAAGAGTGTTGTATAGGCTTAGGGTTTTGCTTTATTGTTTATGTTTATATTATATTGGTCAGTTCGTTTAATGAATGCTTAGGGGGTTTTATAAACATTTTTCCCGCCTGTATTAACATTTCAATGCTACATTATTAATCAGTCTGTGCTCGATATTAGCACTTTTTCTAGTTATCAACGTTTCGATGTCCATTAGTAATAATTTAGAAATGGTGCCATCGTCGATTTTTTCCATTATTAATAATTTTCGTTGCCATTGTCTATGTTTACGTATCCATAATTAATCAATCTTTTGGTCGTAAGGAAACACTCGTTATCAACATTTCTGTCTCCCTTAGTAATAATTTCATCCCCTTTGTCAACATTTCTTATCTCATTTTTTCACTATTAAGCAATTTGTGGTCGTTGTCAACGTTTCAATTTCCTTACAAAGTTTCATTTTGGTATAATAACAATTAATAATTTTCGTCGCCATCATTAGTAATCAACAGTGGTCCATTATTAATAATTTTCGTCACCATTTTCAATCTTTTTACACTGTTTCGTTATAATATAATTAACTTGTATTATTAATCACTCTTTGGACGTTATCAACGTTTCTGTGTCCATTAGTAATCAATTTGTGGTCTTTGCCAAGTCCATGGAGTCGATCGGCCGGCCACGAGGATCGCTTTATCGTCGCGATGCCGGTGAAGCAGCGCAATGGTAACGGCTGGTGATGCTAATGAAAGGAAGTGGCCGTACGGACAGTGGCTGCGCGGAAAGGAGGCGAGGCGAGACGAGATGGTTGGGTATGAGACGGCGGAAACGGAGGTGAGACAACATCGAGTATTCAGACGACGAAAACGGAGGCAAGACAGCGGCGATTGTCCTGACGGCGGCGAGTGTCGAAGCGGTTTTAGGGTTGGGAGGAGGAAATGGGCTCGAAAATAAATCTCCACACGCGTTTATTGGATTTTCGGCAGTTTCCGATTAGTAATTATTAATAATTATTTTTTTACTCTATTCCCGTCTTACCCTTGCACGTTTCTGTTTGGTAGTTGGACAATGATTACTAATGACTCTCTCTCCTTCTCCTATTGGTTGAAAAGGGTTTAAGATCTTACTTAAAAAAGAGGCCTTAAGGACGTGATCTAACCCGCATCTGGTAGCAAACGACATTTTTTGGGATGAAGACTTGTTGCAGATTGAAAGATCTTGAAAAGTTATGTGGAATAAAAAACAATTCGCTATAATCGGATAACCGAGCGCAAAGTTACGTTCGTTTGAAGTTTCAGTGTTAGGTAGTGCATTCATCGCGACCGTCAACCGCGGTGATGCATTCACCGCTTAAGACCCCATTTTTCTTAGGCATGCATCTCTTTACGAAGAGTCTAAGTAAGTGTCATATTGTAGTGCAAAACAAGTTCTATCAAAATTAATTGGCCAATGTGGTACAACGCTTACCGTCCACCATAGATGTCAGCAAGTTTCCTCCGCTTGAAATGATGGTTCCAATTGCTCTTGAAGTGTCGTATGCACCACCTCTGAATCCACTTGTAGGCTGGATCCAATCCTAAAATAGCGGCTCTGATCTCGGCGTGACTGATACGCCTCTACTGTCACGCTAGAAAATGGCCAAGTGTAACCACCTACTAGAGCGTAGTATAGCGGGTTTGGGTTTTAATGTCAACCCGGGTCCTAAGTGTGCTGACTACTCCATGCATTCTTATTATTTAGCGGTTTAAACGTAGTGAAGGTCTCATTAAACAAACAAGCAAGGCAGTAAAAGGTTGTTTTCAAGTTGAGAGAGGTCACCCGGATATGGTTCCCCCTAGACTGCAGTTAAGCCAGATTACAATTTACCAAGTTCGAGTTCAAAGATAGTTATACTGCGGGATGTTCTTAAACAGTCTGCAGTCTCGATTAAAGGTCTCCAGACCCTCCCAATCTGAGTCCCCAGCGGGCGACTAACCTCCACCAGAGTAAACAGATTGAGGCCCTAACGAACCAAACCTCCTCTACCGAAGTAAATCCGGTACAGAATAGTGAATTGACTCCTCGACTAAAGTCGTCAATTCACTACCTTCAATAAAGGGTGCTCTATCAACTTAGGTAGATATTCTCTTTCTAGGTCAAAGCAGAAACAATAGGAATTTGATCAGGATTCATGTCATTCAATAAATCAGACCTCAATTGAATATAATCAAATCAATGGATTCATACTTGGGCTCATACAATCAGACCTAACATACAAATCTAGGGTTCTTCATACCTAGATGAATGTGGAAGTTACTCCATGGAGTGAGAAGCAAACTCTAGCTCAGAAGCAGAAAACATGTTGTGAAGAATGGGGTTCTGCTTCTGGTAGTCAATCGGCACTTCTTTAAGCGTTATCCGGGCTCCATTGATGATGAAGATCGATCTAAGGCGCTTGAGAACTCTGGTCCGTCGCTTTCTCTCTCTAGGTATCACTTTCTTTCTCTAAAACTCGAAACCCTTGCAAAATTGGCCTTCTTTCCCTTAAAAACAAGCTGTTCGTGATCCCCGGTCGGGTATTTCAGGTGCCCGGCGGGGGATTTCGAAACGTTGCGCATAGGTACAGGGAATAATACCGGATCGATGTCAAGAATACCCGATCGGGTATTTTCGCTCTCTGGCCGGAACCCCTTCTGCCTTCTTGGCGTCCAACATCATAAATCCTCGGCCTCCTCAGAATTTTACCCGGCCGGGTATTTTAACTCCTGGCCGAGTATTTTGCTCTTCCAGCACCCTTCAACTCAAACTTCCTCCTTTCGACCCGAAACTCGTTTCCTCGCCTTAACGTCAACGCCAAGCCCTGAAATATGATATAAACACATAACCTAGCGTGAAATCGGCTTAAAACACGAGAATCTCTTCTCCAACGGCTCAAGAATAGGGGTATAAACATGTGTAATTATTGAGTATAAGAACGGACATGACACAAAAATATATTTATTTGATAGAAAATAGATATAGAAAGAATTATAGATTCAAATATTATAAAATACAAGTAGAAAGATAACTATTTGTTGTTGTTAGAAGTGTCATAAAGATATATATGTAATTACTACCATAAGTAAAAAAGGACGAAGAATTAAACAAAGCCAAATCACACCCGCTATATTTCCAATTCCCCCCCCCCCCATTTGTTACTTTTCTCAAACATTCTCGGTTAATACTAACTTTCTTCATCTAATTTTCACCTTCTTTTCATTCTCTCTTTTATTTTCTTCCTTTTCAGTAGACATGAATACGAGCACGGCACAAGCACAAATAGGCACAGCACGATTCCAACCGTGCTCGGGCTTGGGTCGGGCCTAGCAAAGTTAACAAATGAGCTTTCACGACATGACACGAAAAGTGATGGGCCGTGCCAAGCACGACACGAAATAAATGGGCCTGAAGCGTGCCCGTGCCGTGCCGGCCCAAGCACGGTCCAGCACCCATGTACATCTGTTTCCATCCGCTCCACTGGCAATAAGGAGAGTGCCCTTGTACTTTCCAGTAAGGAATGTGTTGTCCACTTGTATCACAGGGACACAGAAGGAAAAACCATCAATAGATGGCTTGAAGGACCAGAAAAGACGTTTGAAATGACGTTTGTTACCAGGCTCTGGCGGCTGAATTTCTTCATATTGGTAGCGGTGGAGAAAACAGTGTCATGGTTAGACGCCTCCAATGCCAAAATCAACCTATGAAGGAATGCATGTGATTCTTCCCAATCGCCAAACACGACCGCAATTGCTTTCTGCTTTCCATGCCACGCCTTCTTATAGTTAATAATATAACCATAACGACCAGAAATGTCGGCGATGATGGCTTTAGTCTTCAGGTCGGGTTGCTGCTCAATTAGATGCTTGATAGCTGCAGCAACCACCATGGATTTCAACTGTCGATGGCATTGGGATGTTATGGATGACACACATGTGTGAGTGTTCATCGCACGGAATATGACCCAATGCCCGACTCTCTTGCTCTTGATGGCCCGGACCCTAGCCTTGCACCCCTCGTGTTGATTTTGGCATCTCACTATAAGTCTCTTTGTGACGGAATGAGTTGTCCGCCATTCAAAACTTCGAGTCATTGCTTCGGTTTCAATAGCGTGCTGCACCTCCTTCTTTGTACCAAATTGTTGGCCCTTCGTAAACCCAGTGAGTGGACCCCATACTGGCACCTCTGGTGGCTCCACGTCGGCATCAACATACCAATCTTCATTTGGAATGTGGTTGTAGTACGGGATTGGTACCCGGTCACGAGACACCTCATCATCATCTGAGTCTGAAGTAGGGTCTGAATCATCGACACCGTCAAGAGGGTCGAAACTGTCTGCACTGACATCACCTTCCTCTTCTTCATCCTCAGGATCGCTGATTGGTCCTGAGAGGACATCTTCCATCTCATCAAGATCATGAAAGGCACCAACATCATCTCTGTAATGGTAGTTGTGATAACTACCACTGCCTGCATGAAAGTCATAATCGGGTTGATACTAGTAGCCATCTTCTTGGTTGTCATGGTATCCTTGGGCTTCTTCTTCATATGATGGAAAGGATTGATGATGACCTCCGCATCCTTCTTGATACTCATTGTAGGAATGACAATCATGGTAGCTTTGGTAGGAATGATCTTCATATAATCCCCCTCCACCGTGGATACCAGATGTTTGGCCTTCTCCATAATGACCTCCAGCGCCTTCGACCGGCTCGGTGTAAACGAACATCTCTTTTTTGGAAATGTTAATGGTGGTCAAAAATTCAACCATGGAATCTACTTTCGCCTGAGTGGTTATGAGGAATTCCTCATGCCATAACGCCCCGCCATTTGGATATCGATACACCATACGGTCAACTCTCCTCGTGCCACCCATGCAAGTAACCTCTGTAAAAATTCGATGCAGATATTCAAGGTTTGATCACGTAGCAACCTTCACTTTTTGAAAATTACCATCGACGTAACGTACTCCCTTTCCCGTCTCTTCTGTATAATCATTCCACCATAACCCAAGCGTGAACTTTTGAAATGCCATATGCAAACAAACCTTATTTTCGTTAATACTACGAAGTATTTTCAAAATCACTATATGATAATACAAATCAAACTTACGAAATAATGTTAATCGCAAAAAACTCAAAAAGGTTCAAAGGCAAAACAGATTGATAAGAAGAAGAATAAGGAATGAGGTGTTGTGAATTTCAGAGGGTTTCAGAGATGCCTTTTATAGGCAAATTGTCAATGAAAACCGCCCCTCCCACCAGCGGTTTTCAATGACACAAACCCTATCTCCTCTGGTCCCTGCATGCCGACATGTGACATGTCGGGTGTCTAGGACGACATCACAAACCGTGCGTTGGGGACGCGGTTTGAGTGTCGGGAAAGGAAACCGCTTGCCAAGGAGGCGGTTTCTTTGTCGACAAGCAAACCACTTGTTAGGCTGGCGGTTTGTAGTTAGGGCGGCCATGAAACTGCCGTCAAGGCAAGCAATTTCTTGTTGGATCAAGAAATGCTTCCTTGCCAGGCGTTTCTCATGTTAACCGAGCCCCCTAGTGCGGTTTTCAAAATTGGATGGTATTTTTGGAAATATTCCGGGTTATGTGGTATTTTGTAATTTATTTTTTTAATAGTGGTGTTTGTGGAAAAATCCCTCAAAGCTGACCCATTTATAATTTTCTATAAAAAAAAAATACTATAATTTGTTTGCAAATTATTTAGGGCCCACCATTCACCGAAGAAGCGTGCAGTATCAACAAGAGCACCCAGGCGGCATAAGTTCCGATAGCTCCAGAATCTTTTGTCTTCCGCCGCTCCTCCAATCACGATCACACCCTAAAGCCAAAATTCCAAATACCGATAATAGTAAACAATAACAGAAAAATAAAAACCAATCTAGTAGCAGCACTATTAAAATGGCGATGCTCTGATGATGAAAATACGGCGAATCACCTAACAAAATCCGCTTCTTCTCCCCCTCGCCGGTTAACCAAAACCCACAGTTTTCCTCCGCCCCAACCACACCATGACCAGTTCGGCTGCTCCGTCGCGCAAGGTTTTTCTCCGTCGCCTCCTTCCCCTTTTCCCCGATTTCTCTCCTTTTCGTTTTGGTTAACGAAACGAATTTTGTTTGTGGTTGTGAAAATTGACGTAGGCTTTAAGCAGGATCGCCTGTAGCCGACTGCAGAAGGAGCTCGCCGAGTGGCAGCGGAATCCACCGGCGGGATTCAAGCACAGAGTCACTGATAACCTCCAGAGGTTCTTCCTTTTTTGGGTTTTTGCACCTGTCTTGTCATTTCTTAACTTTTTTCCCTTCCATTTTTGCGCTCTCGATTGAAAGACTAGTACGTTGATTTTCGGCCTTGAATTCTGTGTGCGAAGATGGGTGATTGAGCTCAATGGAGCTCCCGGAACTCTGTATGCGAACGAGATGTATCAGCTTCAAGTTGATTTCCCTGAGCATTACCCCATGGAAGCACCTCAGGCGAGTTCTTGATTTCCTCAAACTCCTTTCGTATTCTCCAACTGCAGTTTAAAGTTTGTTCAATCTGCTGCTTTGTGTTCAATGATGGGGTTGTATGGTGTTTCCATATGAAACAGGTGATTTTCATCCCGCCGGCTCCGATGCATCCTCACATTTACAGCAATGGCCATATTTGCCTAGGTATCTTTCTCTTCTCTCCTGCCTGCAAATTCCCCTCTCAGTTTATGACAGCTGGGAATTTAGATTGGCTTTATGAGCTCCTCATTAGGGTGTAAGCCATTGTAATTTCTCAAGCATGTTTAAGCAAGGTTTCAGCTTTCCTTCATAGGGTAACTTTTCACCACTACAGCTAGTGCTTGAGTTGGTGAATGAACCTTGGTCTATTAGTTGAACATGCTGTTAATACTTGGTCTTCTTTTTGTTCATTGCTATTTGATGATTGCATCTATACAGTGTGGTTCTAGCCCAAGAAAGATGCACACTTGAGCAAACCTATTACATAAGCTAATTAATGTTCTACTTGTTGTTGATTGTATGATTTTCCAAAATGCTTTCATTTATTCTTTGGGAAATGATCATCCTTAGATCTTCCGTGAAGAGGGAACATAGTCTTGTCAAGTCAAGTGTTTGCTCATGACGAAAAGCTTGTTGTTTTTGTTGTCCTTTGCAGATATTCTGTATGATTCATGGTCTCCAGCTATGACTGTTAGCTCCATATGTATCAGTATTCTCTCCATGTTATCTAGTGCAACTGCAAAGGTTGGTTTGTTTGATCCTGCAGCCAATGCTCCAGACTTTTCTTTATTACTACCATATATAGTTCTAATCTGACTCGTTACCTGCTCCACTTTCATGCAGCAACGCCCTGTTGACAATGACCGTTACGTGAAGAACTGCAAGAGTGGGAGGTCTCCTAAGGAGACTCGATGGTGGTTCCACGATGACAAAGTCTAGTTTGTTTGTTAAACAAACTAAATGAGGACTAACAATTACTTGCATTACCACCTGTGTTGTGTATACAAAAAGGACAAAGCAGAGGTTTGATGGACTTTTGTGGTAGCGTGTGATTGAAGGCAACAGGTTCAACAGCAGATTTTGCTTTCTACTAGTCATAGAGCAATCTGTTTCTTTGTTTCCTTTCTTTTCCCGAGAGCTCTCCTTTCAGTTTATTAAGCAACTGTCACATTATATGATTTAAGGAGAAAAAGAGATGTGAGTTTCATTCGTACTAATGAACCTTCTATCTATCAGTAAGCATAATCAAGTAATGACTATTTGCACGTACCTGCAATAGTTCCCTTCCCACCTAATAGAGTATCCCTGAGGATGTGGCCGCTGCTCTGCAATCGTGATGAAATCTCTTTTTGCAGCTTCAACACCTCCACCCTCGTCCTTCTTTAACTGGTGTGCGAAATCTGTGTCTTGCTTGACGTTGATTTTGCCTGCCTCCAACCTCGAGAATGTCACCAACTTTTGAGCCAGCAAGCTCCTTGAACCATTCTTGCTTCTCCCCCTATCTCCTTCACATAACATGTTGCATTACTAGCTCTGCCTCTGTTGAAATTACTCTTCCATTCCATCAATGGCGGCTTTATGTCACCGAACAAGGAGAATAGCCTTGCTTTCATAAAGTCGGAAGGAGCTATCAGACTTCAGAAGCTACTGAACTAGTCGATGAGGGCCATGCCCAAAGAAAAGCCCGTATTTTATGGGCTAAAAGGAACAGGGATCACGGGCTCTGATTTTTAGTTCGTTTTTACGGCCCAAATCAATCCGGCATCTTAATTTCAGGCGTCAGCCGTTGAAGCTAGCTAAGTTGTCTCCGGGAAAATGCCGGCGGGACGATTAAGCGGCATCGCTCGGTGCAGCTCTTTCATGGCGGTCTACTCCTAGGGCTGCAAACGAGTCGAGTCGAGTCGAGTTTTTGCTTAGCTTGAGCTTGGCTCGTTTATTAATTTTTCAGCTCGAGCTCGGCTCGAACTCGAATTTTGATAATCCAGCTCGAGCTCGAGCTCGGCTTGAATAAAAATAATCTAGCTAACATAGCTTGTTAAGCTGAGTACAAGCTCGGCTCAAGATGAGCTCGATTTAAAATCATTTTTGCTGGAAAAATGTATAAACATAAGAATTTAAATGATAGAAAGAACACTAGAAACTAGAAATAACATCTAAATTTCATACACATCTGTATTATAAGACAATGTTCATGTTTAAAAGAGTAATTCATCCTTCCACAAGCTCAAAACAAGGCAGCTCGCGAGCTTAGCTCGACAAGCCACCGAATCAAGCTAGCTCGCGAATTTATCAAGCTGAGCATGGTCTAGCTCAGGCTTGGCTCGTTAACTAACGAGTTGGCTCGCGAGCCGGCTTGTTAAATAACGAGTCGAGTGTCGAACGAGTTTTTTCCGATTCGAACGCCGAGTTGCTCGCGAGCGGCTTGGCTCATTTGCAGCCCTATCTACTCCTCTCGCATCCAGCCTGCTCAGCTTAACCGTGAAACCGATGTCTCCACTCCAGAAAGCTGGCTCTCTCTTTCTGCTCCAACTCTGAGCTCGCTTCCGAGCTAACAGTCCCAATCCCGGAGGAATCGTTGAAACGTGTAAGAGCTTGTTTCTGCAGGATCAATTGCTCTTCAGGATTTGAAGCATTTTAGATGAACTTCGTGTAAGAAAAATGTGGCTTGCCTTGTTTTTTTTATTGTTCCTGCAGAGTCATCTGAGTCCTGGACTGTACTTAGTTGGAACTCCGATTGGAAATCTTGAAGATATCAGTTTCAGGTGTTCTTTGGAACTGTAGAATTCAATGCTTCTTCGCTTCTCTGTGCATTAATTTCCTGGAATTGAGCTGTTATTGAACATGGGTCTGTGAATTTAGTTTAGACTTTTTGCTCATAGCTCGTGGCTGCCTGATTGCAGAGCTATTCGCGTCTTGAAAACGACCGATGTGATACTTTCGGGAGGACACGAGGCATTCGGGGAAGTTGCTTCATTACTACAACATCAACAGCCCTCTCGTCCGTTTTCTTTCCTGAAGCTTTTTCGATATTTGGTTTGTTCTTAGAGTTTCAATTTGGTCTTTTCGCAGTTCTAATTGTGTGATTTAGGTTTCCAGTTGAGCTACCACAAGTTCAACGTGTGTCAAAGAGAACAGGCTGTGTTGAGGAGCCTTAAACAAGGTGAAATCGTGGCATTGATCAGTGATGCAGGCATGCCAGGCAGCAGTGATCCTGGTACAGCATTGGTAAGAACATTGTTAAGCTTACAACTAGTTTAAACTCTTAGGTGTAAGGATCTTTAGAAGTAGTCAACTTGCGAGTTCGGTGTGCTTTCGCTGTGCCTGTGTAGGCAAAGTTGTTTGCGGATGAAAACATTCCTGTTATACCTATTCCCGGGCCTTGTGCTGTGGTAGCTGCTCTATCCGCCTCTGGCTTAAATACCGAGGAATTTACAATTGGTACTCTACTCTTATTCTTCTTCTGTAAGAACATTACCTTTTCCAAGGCATGCATTATGCCAGCATTCTGGATTTTGGATTGCTGAGACATGTCATATTTGTAAATGCTGCTGCAGCTGGATTTCTCCCCAAACAAGCTGGGTCTCGGAGGGACAGATTGACAGCTTCAGCTAAGGAAGCAAGGACTCAATTGTTTTACATTCCACCACACAAGTTATTGCAATTTCTCGAGGAGGCTTCATCTGCATTCGAAGATTGTAGCCGTGGTTGTCGAGTCCGATTCGAAGATTGAAGGGAGGAGCCACCCAGATTTCGTGGCCGGCGGTGTCAAATGAGCATTTGAAAAGGAAGGCAACATCTGAATGCCAAGGGCATTCTCTCTAGCGATTGACCAGACAACAAGAAGAGAAGGTTTACAGGGGAGCTTATACGGATGTTTTAAGAAAGAAGGCCAGGAGGAAGACATTGGAAGAAAAGGCGATTCGACAAAGGACAATGGGCAACGATCCTCACCATGGCGAAATTAAAGCCATGGCACAGTTCCTTTGAGCCCCTTCCTAGTAATTTCTAACTCCGCTTTAGCGAGAGAGCAAAGGTTTAAGGGTTCATGCATCCGTTTTCAATAAGCCGTTGGATTGCACTCATTAATTTGAATCTAAACTTTTTATGTACAACCCGATTTCAAAGATAAACTTCTTTGATTTTGGATTTTGGTTCAGATAGCTTCAGCGTTGTCTTTTTAGTACTAACCCAAAATTGTGAACTTGGAAATTGAAACAGATAATTCAACTATTACAATACTATACATAGTGTTTCTTCCATAATGCTCATCATGGTTTTTTACTTAAAACTGCAAGCCTGCTGCTGATGCTGAAATTTTTTGGCAGCAAGAAAAGGTTAGTCACTCTGCTGGGCATGCTATAACTTATTTGGCAGCAACACCAACAACAAGTATCAATGGTTTGGTTATGATGATTTCAAAGTGGTTTGATTGTGGTCATGCTTTGGTTGGTTTTTTAGCTATAAGATAATTTTTATACACAATCAGTTCTGTTAGTACCAATTTTTTGTTTTTTCCATACACGTGTATCCATTTTGCATATATTAAATTTGTGATTTCATATCATATGTTTTGAACAGAAAAGGTTGAATGGATTAAGAATGACTTGATCAAACTGCGAAAGTAGTCAGTTGCGATGTTGTCATAACGAATAGAGTAGCTTAATCAAGCCGCTGAAACTATTGGTTCTGTCTGGTACTATCAAGTAAGACCAAATTAAATGCTACCATTACTTACTTTAGCAGTTAGTTGTTGTTTTTGTTGTTTTATGTATTCCATCCAAGTTACATGATGATAATCATATGTCCAGGAGTTTGCACATATAATATGCATACTAGCTTGTGCCAACTAACTTTATAAAGTTGTGCAACTTCCTGATCTGATTGTAGCATGTGTTTCTTGGATTTTAGATATTGACTGCATTTCTCCAGGATCTGTGTTCTACGACTGAACCCATAGATGGGTCTTCCAATCTAAAGGCGAAAGAACTAGACCAGTTGAATGGGTCAAGAGAAGAAGAGAGAAATTGGTAATGTTAAATCTGACTGCTTAGTTTTCTCTACCATTATGAAACCCTGTCTTAAGAGTCTTTACGTTTTGGAATTGTGATTCATAGTACAATTGGGGCTTAACATTCGATTGCTGCTGCTTTTAATCATGTTGAAACTCAAGGTGCCTAAATTATTCATGGAACTTCCCACTTATCATAGGTCTTGATAATGGAGCTGCAATGCTAGTTGGAAGATTCAGCCCTATTTGGATTATTTATCAATTCCACAACCCTAAGCGGCTAAATTCTAAGATTAAACTCAGAGAAGCAAAAGATGGTTTCAAGTTTGAGTGGTCCTGTAAGTCAGATCCCTCAACTGTTGAGCCGCTGACCAATTAATGGCATGAGAATGATCTTTAATTTTCACCATTGTTTGATTCTGCACATTTATGGTCTATCTCTTGATTTCTGCTTGCCGTATGTTATCTTGGATATGCTTCCAATGACTGATCCTTACAGTATCATGTATATGATAATGTTTATCTTCATTCTATGGTAGCAGGAATGGAGAAGGTTTAGCATGAACAGGCCTTCATAATTCATAGGAGGATTGGAAATGGAAAAGTAATTTCTTAAAAACATCTGTAGCGATCGAGTGCAGATGGTCTTTTATTAAGGTTTGGAAATGGGAAAGTAACAGTCGCTGAAGATATCATTCTACATTGTACGGTACTCATATGTTGTTTTGTAGTTTTGTATCATATCTCATTTATTTTGACGCGTATGCTGCTCCCCCGGATGTGTTGTGATCCAATGGTGGTGAATTTTTCTGTTATGTTTTTTTTTTTATGGTCACCTGTATTCCAAATACTCAGAAAAATCAATTCAGCCCAAATCGGGCCTGGCCCAAGTCGGCCTGTAACAAAAGAAGAAGAGAAATGGGGGATTATCCACCCACACAAATTGCCTATCCCAGCAGAAACAAGAGTGGGCCAGCCAGTGGGCTGAAGAGTTGTTCTTCCTATGTGTATAGCACCACCTCGTCGAGCCCCTATTATCAAATAATTTCATGCTTCCAACGTTTGCTAGCTTTGATGATTGTCTATGCTAAGTAGGTGGGATTCTATTTTGCTTTTATAGGGACGAAATTGAAAGTAATAGCTTTTTTTATTATTGAAATCTTAAACGAATTTATCTTGATTGTAACTTCGCTCTATAATAGTTACGTAAATTACAAGTATATTACTTAAACCTTATGGATGGACATATATGTCTTATATATCAATATCGACCAAGTCCCGACGAAGCCCATGATGTGTTGATGCAGCACGAAGCCTATTATTCCTAGCTAAGTACTCAGTTAGGGTTGGAATATCGACATTAGTTGGTTGTTGGTCGTGGACCTCATAATCAAGATTATCTTCCATCTCATCGTCAGAATCAACCTGCTCATCCTCGATTATCATATTGTGCAACATAATGCATGTCAACATTATCATTAATTGTGGCAAAATCCCAAGATCTTGCAGGGCCACGAACGATTGCCCATCTAGCTTGAAGAATCCCAAAGGCCCGCCCTACGTCTTTTCGATGTGCTTCTTGACATCGAGCAAACAAGGCTTCTTTGTTTGAGCTTGGATTGCTGAATGTTTTCACTAAAGTTGACCAAGAAGGATAAATACCATCAGCCAAATAATAACATTGATCATAGGTATGATCGTTTACCTCAAATCATACTCGTGGGGTGGATCCGTTGAGGATACCGTCAAACACTGGAGACATCCCTAGAACATTGATGTTGTTATTCGACCCAGGTGTTGTACGAAGCCACTGTCTCGAGAATGATTGTTGGTTTACGGTTGTGCCCCAGGTACTGCCCATTCCAAGAAGTAGAACAGTTCCTCCACTCCCAGTGCATGCAATCAATTGATCCAATCATACAAGGGAATCCGCTTTGTGAGGCTTTATGAAGTAGAATCCTTAGATCAGCATGAGTTGGTGCACGAAGATATGTCGATGAGTACATCCCGACAATGGCTCTGCAAAACTTCCTGAAGACTTCCAGCACAGTGCTCTTACCCATACACATGTAGTCATCAAGTTGATCAGCTGTATATCCATAAGTTAGCATGCATAGTGCACTAGTAAGCTTTTGCTCCGGCGATAGGCCTAGGTGACCAACGACATCACTCCTTCGTGCAAAAGAGGGATCATACCTCACAACGTCACCCATTATGCGATTGAATAGTCGTGGTTGCATACGAAAACCCCTTCTGAATATGTGAGCATCGTATGTTGGATTTGGATTAAAGTAATCCTGCATAAGACGGTCATGACCTAAGACCCTTTCACGATCAATGTGGGTGCGACTTGTTGAACGTCGACGAGAGTATGAAGCTTCCTCAAGTCTCCGCCCGATTAAAGCCAAACGGTGATAGTTAAAGAGATTCAACTCTTCTATCTCTTCTTCTCCTCCAGGCGATGAGTAATCTGAGGAACTCATGATGGATGTGTTTGTTTAAAAAATGGGGAGAAGTTGATGGATGTGTTTATTTTAGAAATGGGAGGAAGTTTCAGACAAGTATACAATTGATGGCAAATGGGGGATTTGCATTCATACTCAAACATGTGCTACCTACCAACCATAAGCTAACGGTCATATTCGAACATGTGCTACCTACTAACCTTACCTAACGGTCATATTCGAACATGTGCTACCTAACAACCTTACCTACCTACCTTACCTAATGGTCATATCCGAACGGTCATAACCTAACGTCATAAATTCTCTATATATTCAGACATCCTCTCCTCTCTCTCTACCATTCATTCTTACTGAATTGAAATTTTCTGTTAGTCTCATCATTCTTTCTATCATCTTTGTCTCTCTAAAAACCAAACAATGGCTAGAAAGAGAGGAGGGAATTGGAAAGTGGAGGAAGGTAAGAACTTGTGCAGTTCTTGGGTGACGATATCAAAAGATGGAGTTGTGGGCGTCAATCAAAGGGATAAAAATTTATGGGATAGAGTGGCGGCGCAGTTTCGATCGAACGATCGAAACACATCTCGTACTATCAAAAGCATGTCTAATTTTATGGGCACAATCAGCAAATACTGCAAGTGTTGGAATTCAGCTATCCAAAGGGCAGAGAGGAATCGACCAAGTGGCACGAATCAAATGGATGTGGTATGAATTCTTCATCACCATCACTGTTATTTTCTAACTCATTCATTAGTACGTGTGTTCTATTTTCTAACTCCTTTTCCATCTCATTCATTCGTACATATAGGAGCATATGGCAGAACAACTCTGTTTAAGTAAGACCAGAGAAAAGGGTTGGAATTTTGGTCATTGTTGGTGGATCTTGAAAAGTTGCCAAAAATTTCATGTCGTGATAACAATGCCGTCTTCAAATCAAAGTCGCATGAGTCAAGGTTCTGGTGGTTCTCCCATGGGTCTTGGTTATCAATCAGCACCACAGACATACCTCAATGACACAGAAGGAGACGAAGAAACTCCACAATTCATCGGAGAAACTCCACCCTTCGTCGAAGAAACTCCACAATTCGTCATATCTCGCCCTGCTAGATGCGACAAACAGAAGGCGGTTAAGAAGAAAGGAAAGGGGGTTGTTGAGTCATCAGAGAGCTACACTGCTCAATAGCTGGAGTATGGAAGTGAGTTGAAGGAGAGGCATGCTTCGAGGGCTGAGTATAAGCGAAGAAGGATGGAATTCTAAGAACAAAAATCAAAGCGTGACCAAGAAAAGTGGGAACTTGAGAAAAAAGAGAGGGAAGCAGCACTATTTCGGAACAACCTTGATCTTCTTGAAAAGGACTTGTCGAAGTTGACACCAAGAAAGAGGAAGTTTTACAAAAATCATCAAAACATGCTCCTAGGGTATGATCAAGATGATCCCAACTCTGTTCCCGACTATTCATCCAACGCAAGTCAAACCAGAGGTGGAGATGGAAGTGGAAGAGGAGATGAAGGTGGAGGAGGAGATTACGGGAATTACTATTCTCTTCTGAGCGATTATTGACATATTATGTGTTTCCTTTCTATCATTTCAAGTGTTGTGTGTTATTTTTAAGCTTTATCATTTTCAAGTGTTGTGTGTAATATTTAAGCTTTATCATTAGCAAGTGTTGTGTGTAACCTATGAATTGTACCATTTGAATTATTATGTCAACTCCTTTAGCTTTATCATTTTCGAGTGTTGTGTGTAAACCCAAATTAGGTCCATAATTTTTTGCCCAAAAAAATTATGTCTCGGAATTTACAAAATTCTATCGAAAAATTTGTATTTAAAAATGATGACGAACTATACAAAAATTAAAATGAACAAACTATATTAAGGCTTCGATTAAGTACATTTTTAAGTAAATAGAAAAAACTGGAAAAATTAAGATCCCCAAATATGGAGATTGAAGCATTGGAGCAAAAGAAGGGAAAATGGTGATCAATCCCCAAATTTGGGGTTTTTCATTGGACTTGGAACGTGTAAATTGAGAAAAGACAACATGCGCTATCACAGAAAAGAAAGAAACAAGGGTTATGTTCGAAAGCTCTTAACCACACTTCAACGAATCAAGATCGTATAGCTTAAATGGAGGATGACGACAAAGGAAAGAAGAGACTAGTCAAGGTCGAAGAAGCAAGAAGGGGACTGGGGAGGTAGTGCTGCTGGAGGAGGAGAGCTTAAATGCTGAAGACGTGGGTATTGCTGGAGGAAGAGGTGGGCTGGCGACCGGCAACGACGAAGGAAAGTCGCCCTTCTTCGCTGGTGGCTGTGCTCGTCGGGTTTCGCTAGGGTGGGGAAAGAAGAGACTTGGTCTAGGTCGAAGAAGCGCGAGGGGCAACCAGATGACGACAAAGGAAAGTTGCCCTTCTTCGCTGGCGGCTCTGCTCGTTGGGTTTCGCTATGGTAGGGAAAGAAGAGACTAGTGAAGTTCGAATATGTAGGAAGGGGACTGGGGAGGCAGTGCTGCTGGAGTAGGAGAGCTTAAATGCTGGAGGAAGAGATGTGTTGGCGATCGGGAATAACGAAGGAAAGTCGCCCTTCTTCGCTGGCGGCAGTGCTCGCCGGGTTTCGCTACGGTGGGGAAAGAAGAGACTTGGTCTAGGTCGAAGAAGCACAAAGGGCAACAAGATGACGACAAAGGAAAGTCGCCCTTCTTCGCTGGCAGCCGTGCTCCTCGGGGTTCGCTATGGTGGGGAAAGAAGAGACTAGTCAAGGTCGAAGAAGCAGGAAGGAGACTGGGAAGGCAGTGTTGCTGGAGGAGGAGAGCTTAAATGCTGGAAACATGGGTGCTGCTGGAGGAAGGTGGCTTAGAGACCGACAACGACGAAGGAAATTCGCCCTTCTTCGCTGGCAGCTGTGCTCGCCGGGATTTGCTAGGGCGGGGAAGAAGAGACTTGGTCTAGGGCGAAGAAGCACGAGGGGGGGGGGGGGGGAGTGGGGAGGGGGGAGGGAAGTTTAGGGTTCCATCTCAACGGTTTCTTTTGTAAAAAGACGATGCCCTTTTAAGCTTTGCTTAGAGGTGTTAGAAACTTATTTATATCGGGTTTATATATTTATTGTTATAATTATTATTATGGTAATTCTTATTATGGTTAGTCTTTTTTTAGTATAATTAGGTTTATTATTAGGGTTTTCTAGTATTTTCCTATAAATATGTACTTTGGGTCTTTCGTCATATTAAGCAGAAATTAATAAAAGAATTATCTCCTTAATCCCTCTCCATGTCCTCTCAATTCTTGACCTCAATCCCTCTAAAGGCTTAGGCCGATTCTCTTTTGTTCTTCCCCAAATTCTCTTCTCAAATCCCTAAATCCCCAATTCTGTTCTATAACCCTAAATTCTCAATCTCTAGATCTAATCTAGAAACCCGTTAGAAACTTTGTTTCCAACATCTGGTATCAGAGCCCGGTTCCGGAAGACGAGTTCATCAAAACTCTTTCAGGGACAGCTTCCTACCAGATCAAATCTAGATGAGTTCAACCGATATATCGGAGCTGACGTGGGCTCAAAAGCAGGAACGATTATGGCAGATCGTGGAGTACTGGAAGCCATATGCGTTGCATCGCGGAAAATCATACGCGAAGGACGGCGGTGATGACGCTACGGCGAGGCAGCCGCCGCCCGCAGGTGTTGGCGGACCTGACGAGCAGCCGTCTCCGACAAGCTCCGCGGCGGATGACGACGTCGAGGCGAGCAATGAGGGCGGGAAGCAGACGTCGATGGCTTCTCTGCATTCCGCTGCCGGGACTCCTAGCCGCCGAATGGAAGACTTGTCGCCGGAGAGGAGTACAATCCCACATCCAGCCATAGCTTGCACAACAACCGGATCGATGATCGCAGAGATGGATTTCGATGATTGGTTGGAACGACCTGTGTTCCCAATCGAGCCCGATCAAGGTGGAACCACGCCACCCATGATGCTGGCGACGGTGGAGGAGTTGATGGTGGCGAAGCCGCCGACCCCGAAAGAAGCACCACCACCAACTGTTGACACTATGACGACCAAAGAGCGGAGCAGAGCCACTGATGCGATTGACGCTACTGTGGGCCGAAAAAGAGTGAATTGTGATGCTCCAAGCAACGAGACGACATCCGTCTTTGGAGAAGAATTCCAGGCTGAAGTTGCAGAGAGGATGTCAACACCAAATCGCTTGGTGAACTGGCGATTTCGAAAGAAGCAAAGAACCGACGAAGGAGAGATGGCGGCTCCCGCGTCGAGCGTCTCTATGGCCTCACCCACATCTTAATCGATCGAATTGCCAGCTGCCGACCAGGAGATGGTAACCACGACCCACGGCAAACGACGCGGAGAAGAAGAATTACCGTTCCGCGGGGCGACGAGGGAAAAGGAGACCAGCGCGGCAGCTCTAATCGAGGCGACGCTGGTGAGGGAGACGAAGAATGGCGGTGGCATCTTCTCTCCCTCTTGCGAACCGACGCTCGATGGCCTACCAAGGCTGGAAACGAGGAGTGTCGGCCTAAACTTACCTCCCTACAGCCTGACGATTCCATCGCCTAAGAAGTATTCGAAGAAGAAGAAGCACTGCGGCGGGATCCTCTGTTTGCCGCTGAAGAAGACGTCGCCTGCGAACGAGAAGAAACGCGGCGGCAGCGTCGGGGGTGGAATTCTCCACTCATCCTTAGGAAGAGGAACGACGAAGGTGACGAGAGTCGGCCGAGAAGAACATCGATTCTGGGAGACTGCCTTCGCGATGGATGAGCCGCCGGATTCGAGAGCGTCGACCAGCCGCCTGGAAGATCGCTCGCCGCCGAAGAAGAAGGAGGTAGAGACGGTGGGCTGCAGATCGAGATTATTCTCCCGCCGCGTGAAGATCCTGTCGCCAAAGGACGTGACGAGGAAGGCGGCGCCGTCGGCGGGCGAAATGGAGTCGAGGGCGAGCGAAGAGGGAGGCGGTGGCATCTCTCTTCCCTTCACAAACCCTAAGACCACTCGCTTGGACCGCGGAGCAAGGCAGTAGCTCCTTCCTTGTGGCCAGGCCGAGTGGGCCGACTCGTACGACCCAGAATTTGGGCTTGTTGGGCTGTTAGTGATCCGAGAAGGCCTGGAAAGAGTGAGATGTTTTAATCACGGGCTGAGGGTGAAGGAGAACTTAGTTGGGCTCGTCGTGGGCAGAATCACTCTGGTCGTGGGTCTGGTTGAGTTAAATTAAGCAAGTTGGGAAGTGGAAAAGAAGTCTGCTTGGATTTATCAACAAAACGGGCCGAGTCAAGTGAAAATCAGGCCAAGTTTAGAAGAAGTGGAGCCCAATAGGAGCTGTCTTTTGAAGTGGGTCAACTTGAAAGAAAAGAAAGAAGAAGACAAAGTGGGCTTAGCAAGTGGGCTTTTCAAGAAGCCAAGCCCAAATGAAAAAGAAGAGAAGAAGAGCACAATAGGGCTTCATATTGGTTTGGGCTCTAACTCTTTCTTCCAAGTATATATGAGCCTAGTTCAAGGTGAAGGAAAAGATGATTGGGCAAGGCTATGGGCTGTCTATACCACCAAGCACGAAGCGGTATCGATGGAGCAATCCATTGAATATTTTAAGGTGGTTCATCATGAGCACAATGAAGAACGACTCTCTGATTCTTATTTCATGGATTTCGAAATGGAAGAGGGCGAATTGTTCGGCTATGCAAAATGGGACACATGTCACGTGGGTGGAAGAGAGTCGAGGAAAAATGGACTGGTGCGAGAAGAATTCATTCAAGGGATCGAGCGCAATTGGAAACGAAGAAAGCGAAAGGTCAAGGAGGTAGAAGTCAACTACAACCTTGAGGTCAAGGTTGGTCTGAAGGGGGAGGAGATGCTAGAAACCGATTTATATCGGATTTATATATTTATTGTTATAATTATTATTATGGTTAGTAGTCTTTTAGTATAATTAGGTTTATTATTAGGGTTTCCTATTATTTTCCTATAAATATGTACTTTGGGTCTTTCGTCATATTAAGCAGAAATTTATAAAAGAATTATCTCCTTAATCCCTCTCCCCATCCTCTCATTTCTTGACCTCAATCCCTCTAAAGGCTTAGGCCGATTCTCTTTTGTTCTTCCCCAAATTCTCTTCTCAAATCCCTAAATCCCCAATTCTGTTCTATAAACCCCAAATTCTCTTCTAGAAACCCGTTAGAAACTTTGTTTCCAACAAGAGGTCATTAAGTCATCCAATTGGTAGGCTCCGGCAACTATGAGTGATTTCATTTAGGTTTAAGGCGTCCGGTGTTCGGCCGATGGATTGGAGAGCGTGTCTGTGATTGCCGATCGTCTTTTGCCAAAGGAGACGTTTGGAAAAATGAATCATTTTGCGAACTGGCTTTGTTCCGGTAATTAGCGGGTAACTTTTATGGTTGATAATCAATTAATATAAATCATAAAATATGTTAATATTTTAGTGTAATGCAATTTATTAGTAATTATAAACTTTGTGCTTTAAACATGAAATCCACTCTAAGGGGTCGTTTGGAAAATTGGAGTCTAAATCTCTATATTATAAACAATCCAAAAATCGTAACTCTTGATATTGTTAAATTTTCTTTTACTGTTTATCGTTTGGTAACTGCGATTGATAACATTCAAAAAAAATACAAATTATATTTATCAAAATACATTTTTGACCTTAATCAAAGAATTAAAGTGACTAGAAAAATATTAAGAATTTATAGTAAGGCCATTTCATGGGATAAATACAAAAAAAAAAAATGAGAAAAAGTAGAAGAAAAATATATCACAAATCGGAATGTAGAATCTCTCTGATCATGAGAGATTTGATATCTCAAGATTTCTGAGATTTCAAACCTCTGAAGCTAAAATCTATCATACAAAAAGCAAAAAAAAAAAAAAACATAACTTTCTAGCGAGTCTATGGATTCAATGAATCCATGTTTCGAATCGTGTTCTCCAAAAGAGCCCTATTAATCTAATTTTTTACGCAACACTAGTTTAATCGATGGAGTGAAAAGATCATGAATTATAGATTTTGTGGTTAACGTATAATTGTACTAATTAATAGTGATATTTTCATATTTAGATCATAAATTGAACTAAGATGGTATATGATACTATATTTTAATCTCTAATACATAAACTTCATGCTCTAATTTTCTAAATCCAAAGATGAATTTAATACAAATAGTAATTGACGGAAATACATCCAACATATCACTTGGAGTTTGGTATACTTCAGGAGTACGTGAGTCATCATTACCCCTCTGTATATATATGGTTTAGGGTTTTAGACTAGCATATGTCTGGCGTACGCTTACCTTATCGTACGCACATCCATTTTTGTTATTTAGATATTGAATTAGCTCAAATACATCCAACATATCCACAGTTGCTGGGAGAAAATCACCTTCGCCGTTGTATGCAAACAAGTGGTCGTCACCTCCAACCCGCTATCGCCACCTGACGGCAAGCATAGGAGCATGTTTTCAACCAACCCGGAAGGAGGGTAGCGGAAAGGAACCCACCAAACGCACCTCCCTGGACTGAACTCTGTCAACAACACCACACCCTCACCATAGATCATGCATCAGATTGAAAGGGCGATCACTAGAGGAAACCAAAAAGATTATCTTCAGCCTTCGAGCTCTCCCATCCGGTTCCAAGCGAAGGGCTCAAGCATCTCCGAATCACCGAGACCTGCAGGGTGAACCTTCATGTATATTGTCGCATCCTTCACTCCTTCCCAAACCTCATTTTCTAATTTCCTATCTCACTTCCCTTCTTCTAATCCCAAAGTAAAGATCACTACCTCGGTGATCTATTCATCTTTTCTATGTTCTAGTAATCCGAAAACCAGGTTTCTATTAGTATATATTGAGTTTGCATCATAAGATGACTTGAAGGTGTGAACCATGAGTAAACTAGGTTAGTAGTTAGTTCGTGAGTTACTTCATATAAGATAATGGTCCATGGAACGGAATTGGAACGAGCATGAACATGTTGATTGCATACAATATACATGAAGGTGAGATAGAAGAATTCAAAGTGGCATCAGTGGCGTAACCATAAATTATTCTAAGGTGGGTCAAACGTGAAAAAAATGTATGTTTCAAGATGTGTTCATATTTTGAAATTTTCTAAAATACATTCATCATGCAAATTATGAGGGATGTTAAGATACTATAGTGAAAAATCGTTCATGATTCCACAACTCATCTTATTCTGAAATGTTCTTTACTCTCCTTATTGCAACATGTATTCTTTCAAGTTTCAACGCTTGCAATTGCAATTGATAGCAACAAACATTCCTAAATTTTAGGTTTTTGTTTATAGGGCTAATACCACTAGGAAACACGAACTATTAACTTTGTGCCATTTGTGTCCTAAAGTATTCGATATGATAATTGTGTCCTAAAGTATTCGATATGACAATTGTGTCCTAAACTATTTCTCCGTTAGAGTTGACCGACATTGACCGTTAGTTTTTAACAGAAAATCTAGTAAGCACTGATGTGGCATCTGAAGTGGAATTTATAATATTAATTTATAATTATTTTTCATATAAAAAAATAAAATAAAAAAAATAAAAACAGATATGATTTGTGGACTATTTTTTGGGACACAATTAATTGTTCTCTTCCTCGATTAATCGTTCTCTTCTTCAATCCCAAGCTGGATTAACCCACCCCTTCAATCCCAAGCCAGATTCTAGCACAGGGAATCGATGCTTCCATCGAGCTCAGAAGTGGTTCGCCGAGCTGGTGCCTCCCTTTCCTCCCTTCCGTTCCCCCCGTCAAGCTCATCCTGAAATCCTTCACCCTCCCAACCATAAAATTAATCCCCTTCGTAAACCCTTCCATCCGCTCCATAATCGCCGCCGCTTTTGTCAATGTGTCCTTCTGAGGTGAATTTGGTTTTGAATAACCATTTGTTCCCTATGATCTTCTTACCAGGAGGTCGATCCACCACCTTCCATGTGCCATTATCAAACAGAGCTTTAAGCTCCTCCTGAACTGCTTGGTTCCAGCAGTCTTCTAGAACAGCTTGAGAGTAACTTTGGGGATCAATGGTGGCAGAAATAGACATGATGTAATGAAGATCGGAAGGGGACAAGTGAGAGTAGTCTAGGTGATGAGAAAGTGGGTATAAAAGTTTTGAATCATGTTCTCCAAAAGTGGCTTGACTTAGAAAAGAAGTGTGATAGTCTTTCAAATGAACAGGCTGTCTAGGGATTCTTGTAGATTTCCTGAGAATAGGTGGATGAGTAACCTGTGTTGAGGAGGAAGGAGGTGAGGTGGATGATGAAGGTGTAGGTGGTGGGCAGGGGTAGGTGATGTGCTTGATGGGCTGAAACCAGGTGACATGGAAGGGGAACTTGATGAAGAAGTAGGTGAAGCATCAAGTTCAGAATCTGATGGATAGTAATCAAAGTCATTAGTTTCATGCACATTATGATCCCGAGGGAAAAAATCAGGTGTTGTAGGGTTAATGGAAAGATCCATGGGTATGTTTGGTTGTGGACTTGGGGAAGTGTTACTCTCAACTGCTTTAAAAGGGAAAGAAGTTTCATTGAACTCCACGTCTCTACTGACAAAAACATCATGAGTTTCCAAATCATACAACTTAAACCCTTTAATGCCAAATCTGTATCCAAGGAAGACAGATTTCTTAGCTCTGGAGTCAAATTTGCGTTTGTGTTCATCAAGTATAGTAGCATATGCTAAGCAACCAAACACCTTCAAGTTTGCATAATCTGGAGGGATCCCATATAGGCATTCAAAAGGTGTTTTATTATTCAGAACAGGAGTTGGTGTCCTGTTGATTAAATAGGCAGCATGCATAACCATATGACTCCAGAAACTAACAGGTGCTCCTGAATGCAATTTTAATGCTCTTGCAACATTCAGCAGATGCTGATGCTTGCGTTCTACTCGTCCATTTTGCTGTGCAGTCCTGGTACACGACATTTCATGCACTATGCCATGCCTTTGATAAAAGGCTGGCATGTTGAATTCCTGCTCCTGATCAGACCTAATGGTCTTGATTCTTTTACCAAACTGAGTATCAATCATAGCATGAAAGTTTTGTAACAAATCTATTGCTTCTGATTTGTTTTTCATAAGATATAACCAAGTACTTCGACTACAATCATCAAGAACAGTAAGGAAATACTTGAATCCATCATGGGAGACCACATCAACTGGTCCCCAGATGTCAACATGAACAATGTCAAAGGTTTCTCTAGCTTTTGAGGTGCTTATGGAAAAAGGCAGCCTTTTTGTTTAGCTAGATGGCAAATTTCACAGTCTAAAATCTCTGGAACAATAACATCAACATGGTTTTTCTGTATCTCTTGTAATCTAGGTAAAGACAAGTGTCCTAATCTGGCATGCCAGAGCTCTGAGCCTTTAGTGGGGTCACTCCAAAAACTGTGGGTTTGCAATCCTTTCCAGGTGATGTCACTCCTTCAAGCAAATACAGCCCTCTATCTACGTGGATTAAACCAATCCTCTATCGAGAGATTAGGTCCTAAATACAACAAAAATTGGATTCAAACAAAAGTGAGATAGAGATGTTTTGTGTGAGCTTACTAATAGAAATGAGATTGTAACTGAAAGTAGGCACTAACAGGACATTTGTGAGGAATAGACCACAAGGTAGCTTAACTATACCAATGTGTGTGACAATGGCAACTTGGCCATTAGGTAGGGTTACTGTAAGGTTCTGAACCTCTTTGCATTTGAGGAAATATGTCATTGAACAGATTATGTGATCACTGGCTCCTGTGTCCAGGATCCACATATCTCCATTGCTGGATTTAGAAGTTATAGAGAACACAGAAATACCTGTCATGGCAGTGTTACTAGTTGTGATGGAGTTAACTGAAGGATGAGCTTGCTATTGTGGAGTTTGCAGCAAGGCCTTAAGACGATTGAGCTCTTCTGTTGTGAAGCCTGAGAATGCAGATTGATTGTCTGAGCTGCTTCCAGGGCTTGTAGGAGAGTAAGTTGGAGTTCCTCCTCCTGGACCATTCCTCTCCACTGCATTGACATCAACAGAACCAACAAAGTTTGTACCTCCTCCTTCTTTGTTTTTCCTTTTAAGTTTCCAGCATTCCTGGATAACGTGGTTATCCTTCTTGCAATAGCGGCAGAATAGTCCAGTGTCTTGAGTAGCTTCTTTGTGAAACTTGTCTCTTCCTTGTCCTGATTGAGACTTGGATGCAACAAGAGCTGTAGCCAGTGCAATGGCCTCTTCTGACTTTCCAGTGTTTCCACCAGCTCCATTCAACTGTCTCTCCAATTGTACTACAGATCTATAGATGTTATCCAAGTCAGGCAAAGGATCTAACATGAGCATTTGGGTTTTCACCTGCTGGTACTTCTCATTCAAACCCAGCAGGAATTTGATCACCTTAGCTCGATCCCTATACATAATCACTGTTTCATATGTCTTGGAAGCACAATCACAGTAAGGTATGGGGAAATAGCTCTCTTGTTCATCCCACAAAACCTTCAAATCAGTGTGGTATTGTCTAACAGTTAGGGTTCCTTGCTTAATGAGGTCAATCTTGTCCTGTAAATTGGCAATTCGTACTGAATCACCTTGGCTGAACTTGGATTTAAGATAATTCCAAGCTTCTGAGGCAACCCTAATGTTTCTAAGGCTGGGAACAATATCATCTGAAACAGAGTTTCTAAGCCAACACACCACTATTCCATTCACTCTATCCCAGGTGCCATACATAGGATCTGTGTTAGGTGGTACCTAAATCGTTCCAAGGACAAAATCCAGCTTGTTTTTGGTGCGCAGGGCGACCTCCACGGACTCACTCCAGAGCAAGTAGTTGTCATCGTTGAGCTTGAAGCCGATGACGGGGAGAAAGGAGTTGTCACTCTATGCCAAGTAGTAGGGATTGCTGCAAGGGTCTTCGTAACGTTGCTGTACACTTTCCTTTCCTTTGTCTTGGTTTTCAGCTTTAGATCCAGAAGAACCATCTTTGCCTTCCATCGTTTAGAGAATGAGAATAGAGAGTTTGGATTTGAGAAATGAAAAAAGAAGAAACGTCGTTTAAAGGGTAAAGATGATCAGCAACCAACCAGGCTCTGATACCATGAGAAAGTTCTAAACCTAGCACATTCCATATCTAGGGTTTGAGTGAAATCGCTAAAAACAGCAGCCATGTGTGGGGAATTGGCGATGATGCCTTTCCTCTGTGGGATTTCTCATATATTTACAAGAATCAGTTTTCACTGTACAGCAACGGTAAGAATAACAAACTAATAAACCTACCATTTACATTGTGCCAAGTGGCAAAGCAAGAGTGAAAACTTATCGTCTATTTACTCTAACTGATATGGCAGCGTTTAGCTTCAACCAAGTTAAAGGAAGCCTGACTGGAGGTCTTCGTGGTCTGCAGTTGCTGCTGTATCTGCAGAATGCAATGGCTACATCATCATCTTCATATTCCATCATAAATCAATGCATCCATTCCACGCATCTGCTTCACAATGGACTTTTTCCTTTTGGTTTTAACTTTTAAGCTTCGGACAAGAGGCAGGATGAAGGGAGGATCTATTGTTGGTGTCGATTTTTGGAGGCAGGAGAGGCTACGAGAGTTGGCCACTGCTCTTTGTGTAAGCTCCTTCTTTATGGGGTTTGATTCCGTTTATATTCTGAGTGTCACCTCTCTTTGCTCTGGTTCTGTTTGATTACCCTGTTTTCAACCAAGGGAAGAGGAAGCAAAAGATCTCTTTGATTACCCTGTTTTCTTCATGTTTTGTCTTTGGATTGAAAATGTTCTTTTGATTGTGCCTGATGTTGCGGTGGGTAATTTCACAAAAGGATAAACTTGCTGGTTGTTTATGGTATACTGCTTTGCTCTTTGTGTGAGTTTGGTGCCATCTGCTGTGTTGCCATTATGACATTTATATGTTTCTAGCTTTCTGTAAATTAAATATTGTGGGCCTGATGTGGCAACTTACCTGTACAACAGGATAGTAATTCTCAACGAAGATGAGGAGTCGGGCCAGGACACGAGAAAGGTGGTGAAGTGTTGGGGCCAGTAGAGACACTATGGTGGAGAGAACACAAGGCATGTTATTTGTTTTGGATGTCATTTATGGATATTGTGCTCGGTTAAGTTCGGTAATCGGGGATGTTCCGATGCAGTGCTGACTTATTCTTATTGATGTCTTATCTTTCTTCCCATCTCCAATGACACCTCTTACTCTCGGACCATCCAAAGTCTGTTGGAGTGTTGGGTTTGCTGTGGTTAGTGTGGAGAGCATATATCGATACTTTTCACAGTTCTACCTGTACCTCCAGCAGGAGAGACAAGATGAATGAAAAAGAATGGGAGGTGTAGTAGATTCTGGAATTCAGGTAGTTCTTTTCTGTTTTTAGTTTCTCATTTTTGTAGTTAGTTCATTTACGATTGGATTGCATCTGTATACAGATTAGCTTTGACCTGTGTGGATGTAGGTTACAGTCTCAGCTCTGTTTATTTCTCATGCTCATGCCTGTTCATCTTTTCAATCACAAATAAAGTCAAATCTAGGACACAACATTATATAATTTCTTTCAGTCGTAACGTGAAAGCATGGTTAGTTACTGTTCAAGAGCTGCATTCTATCATCTCCTTATGCTGTGCTTGCAGGCCAGTTTTAGACTTTTGAGTTAATTATGGATTCAATGTTATTTTTCTTTATTTTACCTTGGTTCAATTTTGGTCTTTGCTTGCTGTTCTTCTCTAATGACACGGTTCAGTAGAAATTCTTATCCATCACCACATAAATCCAGTAAAGGTTGACTTTTTCAATAATAGTTCCTCTTCTTGCTTTCGATGCTACAAGATTTGGTTCTGTTTTGCCTCAATTCATGGTATTTGTGTCCCTCTTAATTTATAATCCCATTTACAAGTTTGGTGGAGTCAGAGCCTCATGTACCTGGATCAGGAACTAAAACTGAAAAGGTTTTTCTTTTGTTTACAGTCGGTGGTTACTGAAGCAGCAGCTGAAACTTTCCATAAGATAAAAAAACATCATGATGGTGCAGGTTCTGCTTTAATTGACCCTTTATTCTATCTGGCGTTGATTTCAGCTATCTCTGTAAAACATTACTCTGGTAATAATTCACGTCCTTTGTCACTTTGCACTTTTGTTCTTTACTAATGTCACTTTGCTACTGTATTTATGGTCTGCTCCAGAATTATTGTTTCGGCCATTGATCATGGATACTTGGGAATTTTAAGTTCGACAAAGAGGCATGACATCAGGTCGATGAAACCAATTATAGGGTTCTCTGTGTAGCTCCACTTCAACCTCTTTTCCTGGTGACATGTAGTATGGTGATCTCAATTTCATGTTCAAGCTTAGGAGTTGTGTTAGTTTCCCTTCATCTGTAATTAGTGGTGGCATCCATTCCAATCTTATGAGAGTAGGCATCTATTAATAGTATCTATTAAAATGAAGATGTTAAATTGATGTTATTCTGCTTGGTATGCTAGCCCCTTAATGCTCGAATCGTAAAGGCTTTCGTCTACAAAGCTGCCTTCAAATACAACAAGTTGTTGGTGCTCTTCCCAGCAGGTCCATACTTACTATTACCACTCTTTTTTCTATTTGTCTTACTCATGTTTTTGTTAAGAAAACCTCATGATTTTGCATCATTCATTTTTGTTCTTTGCAGCTAGGTTTTGAAGCTGACTTACAAGCATGCCTGGCCTTTGGTGACCATTTTGGAAGAAGAGATGGTAGTGTTCAAAGACAAGTGATACATATATGCTTAGTTTGATTGCCTCTTAAGTTATTATACTCTATTTTTTGGGATAGACCTTCTCATGTCAATCCCTTTTGTGCTTTGCTTTTGCAGCTATTCCCTCCTGCTGTGCTGTTTGGTTTTCTTTAGCGATATGGAGCCTTGCTGTCACTGGTAATAATATGGAGCAGCTTGGCAAAGTTTGTTTGCTTGACCATCATAGTGATATTAGGTCAGCCAGCAGACTCTCGGATTTTATGCTCGATGCCATGGTACTTTATGCAATCATGGTGATGGGAACTTTCAGGTGATGGGATTTTCCACTTAATGTTCTTATGGATTTTTTCCGTTTTGAAGTGAAGGTTATTGTAGTCAACTCTTCTGGACTGATCTTTTCTTCATAGTGTTTAAGTCTTATCTTTAGCCAGATATCGATACGTGCTGTTACAAAGGCAAGTATAACAACTAGCCACTTCATCGATTAACATAAACCATCGCGGTGATCGAGTCATCAGTCCAATTACAATCGTTTCCAATGCAGTCAATGTGTGATTTATGAGCAATTGGGGGTCTAACAAATTGATAAAAAAAAAACCAATCGACTTCTCTATTGATGTATGTAGAGATATCTCTATTCTGGAAACTCAGTTTTTCATTCTCGATAGCTTAGTAATTATGTGATCAACCAATCATCTATGTATCTTAGGAATAATTATTTGTGTCCCCTGTATGAAACGTCGGTATCGACCATTTTAGTATTTCAATGTTTCTGGTATTCTAAAAAGATGTTGGATTCTACTGTTTCAGTCCACATAGTCTTGCTTGCTCTTTTTCAAGGTTTTGTTGTGCAGAATTTTCCTTCTCATGTAATTCTTTCTTCTACCGTTTCCAATTTGTGGCCAATTAGGTCTATACTCTGTTTTATGAGTGGCTCTTGAGTGAAAATAGTTTGGTACTGCTGTTTCTAATTTACTGCTACAATGAAAGATCAGTTTTCAATGTACACTTGGGAATCCAATCATAATGAAGAGTTTCAGTGGATGTCATTTTTATTTAGAATGATGATCCACTTGATCATTAGAAATTTGTTTTGCATTTTATTTGTGTGCTTTCATTTTGGAGTGTTGCACAACAGGTTAGAGGTAACCCCTGTAGGCTCGATAATGATCTAAAAATTATATCTGAATAATTTCCTTGGTTCTTTCATTGATTTTCAGATTCAAGTATTTGTAAGATGCATCTTAAAGAACGTGGTTACGAGAATCTACAATTTCGGAACAATAGTTAGGAAAATTGTTTTGTGTTTATTATATGTTTGAGGCTGAATCCCTTATTGTTGTGAGAATCTGTAATTTGCTGGAATCTGGTTCGATCTCCATCGCTATAGCCTTGATGCATTTACATGGAATAAATTTAGAACTAATGATGTAAACTCGCGCTTATGGCCTGTAAATGGTGTTTCATTTTCACATTCCTCGAAGGTCTAGAACTCTAGATGACACTATGTATTTGATTGATGTCTTAATGTAAGAAGTTTGTGGTTCAGAGATAGATGACTCTATGTATTTTCACACCAAATTGAATCACCCTCAGCTCGCATTTGTTTGCTTTTCATCAACTCATTTTATCTTATAGTTCTATTTCGGTTGTGGTTTAGTTCAGCATCCAATATTTTGGGAAAAGTTAATCTGCTAACTTGAAGATTCATTAGCAGATACTAACTGATATCCAAAATACATGAACTAGTATTCGAGTACTAAAGTATCTAGATAGCACATACTAGTATTCAAAGTTTGCTAACTGATATCCACCATAAATCAACTATTATCCCAAATTCACAAACTAATATCTAGACAACACAGAATAGTATCCATACAACACATAATTAGTATCCATATAACACATAAGAGTATCCAGATAATATATAAGAGTATCCATATTGAATACTAGTTGGTTGATTGTGGATATTAGTTGGTATCTGCTATCTGGATATTAGTTTGTGATGTTTTGAATGCTAGTTTGTGCTATCTAGATACTCAGCAAATTTGGATATTAGTTCATACATTTTGAATATTAATTAGTATATACTAACGAATCTTCAAGTTAGCAGAATAACTAGGCTGAATATTTTAACCTTGTATTTGACTCTGTTCTCTACTTAACTTAATAAAGAATTCTGCAGGTATCAACATCCTTTCAACTTGCTTGTTTTGTACTGTTTACTGCTGTTACTGATACTAGTGTTCATCAGTCACTTTCACTGCCAAATTTCCATAACCAGGACTCGATCGAACTTGGTTGCATTTTTTCCTTCCTAGCTCCACCTAGCCTTACACGTGAATCGCTATTTGACGCCCGTTTATTTACTATTTGCCGCCCGTATATTTATGAAAAATGTCTATTTTACCCTTCAACACTTAAAATCCTAATCAAAACTGCCCATCCCACCGACGAAATTGTTGGCCGGATTTTGTATCGCCGCTATTGAGAAACAAACTCGCCCATCCGTTGCAAACCTCCATCTCCTCCATCTCCAAGACGCCGTCGGAGTTTGTCTCTCCTCCCGCCTCTGTTTACTCACCTCCCTCAATCCCCAAACAACTCCAGCCGCGGACCAAGATTACGCCATAAAAATAGAGCTCGCCACAGCTGTTGAAGAGGTTACTGCCATCGAGAAAGAAATCGCCGCCGTCGAAGAGGAGCTCGCCGTCAAGGCACGTTTTTTCTTTTTATTTTTTTTATCCGTCCGCCCATCGGAGTCGGACGGGAACCGCCACCCGCCGTTGTCGGACGGCCCTCGCCGTCAGCTTTGGGGCAGAGATAGTCTCACCCATCGCTGGTTTCTCGATCATCTTCATCCGCCTCTTTTGATTGCAATCAACGGAATTAAGAAAAACAAAATTTAATAATTAATTAGCTATTAGGGAAGGGAAACTCTGCTTCAGGGAATGCCCAATTTATATTGAACAACCATAAATTGAGAAATTATATTTAAGAACACTAATTAGAGGTTTTAAGATTTTATTAGGGATAGAATGGAATTAACTAATAATATTATGTTAAATAAGGGTTTCCGAAATTGCTCCTTAATAAATATAACCGAACTCCACGGTCTTCTCTTTTCCTAATTGTCATGGGTTTAATTAAGGAAATTATTTTCCCTAGTTAAGGTAATTATTTTCCTCAATTAACCATTGAAAACCCACGTCCAAGGTAAATTGATGCAAATGTTTCCTCCAAGTAATTGTCATGCTATTTATATATTTAATACCGTATGGGTAAATTACATATAAAATATATATGAGTATTTTACTTTATTTTTTAATTTATGGTATGTTAATAATCAGTATATAAATTGTACAGAATAGAAATTAAATTAAAAATATTGTACTTAATAGTGATAAAGAATAATAAACTCGACTTAATTGGACTCATTATGATAGTTGCAAAAATGAAAGCATATCTTCCCCTTTTACATCTCCTACCCCTCCCAAACCCTAAACCCTCATTCCACCAAATAGCTACCTTTAACCTCGACCTATCTAATCATACTATAACATTGTCTTAGAGGCTAAGTCATCTCAGCATCCTCTAACAACAGTTGTTCACATCGTCAAAATATGTGCGGTAGGCTCAAGAAACTTCTCGTTATGACCACAAGGGCCTCCAAAAACCACGATGGAATTTGTGGCACTATTCATTTATTTGAGCCCAGAATGTCCGATCGAGAAACGGTTGATTCCGCCATGTTCGGATCCAAATTTTAGGGGATCCACGAGAGTTTCAATAATTTTTCACGTCAATATCTCTACTAATTGCGAAAAGATGCTTTCTCCCGACCTTCCGCAAGCCACAACGAGCCTTCTCTACGTCTAATCGAGAAACTATAGATTCCAACATATTCCTATCCACAATATAAGGTTTGAGATATTTAACTATGAAATTGATACAATGCAAAACATTTAATCGAATTTAATAAGTTTTTTAATCCTAGGATTTATGATGAGAAATGATTTTTTTTTTCGGGACTTCCAATGGAGAAATGGTCGATTTCACCTAGGATTTATGACGAGAATGTTGATTTCCTTAATTAACCTAATGGCAGACGTTCTAATTGTAATATTTATTATTATTAATCATTTTCCTGTTTATTGCTACCAACAGAATTAGGGGAAACGGAATTTAAAATTAATTTCTTATTCCTTCTAAAAAATAATTAACTATTCTATTTATGGTCACCTAATAAAATTACCTATTCCGTGTTTGTCTCACTTAATCACTTAGCCGATTTTTTTGTGTGTGGAAACTTAGTGTAAATTTGGTGAGGTTGGCCAACGGAATTAATTGATTGCTTGATAGTTTAGGTAAGTTTGATTTCTAGTTGATTAAGTGAGGCTGACCAACGGAATTAATTTATCACTAACATCATTCCTAATTAAATGATAATATTGATATAAAATAATACTAATGATTCCCCCTAATCCCCCCACTTACGGCATAATACTTTCCCTCTATCATTTAATATAATAATAATCACAATATTAATCACTTTTCTCTCCAATTAACATTCCTAAAACGGTTAAACTTCTCTTCCACTCCCAAAAATTATCGTCGAATACCCTCTCTCCCTGCTCTCCTTCTCTCTCTTCGTTCATTCTACCGTCGTCGTCGGGCAATCAGATCGCGCCGAGCCGTCCGCTCGCCGGCGTCGGACCCCGTCCGATCGCCGGCGGCGGACCCCGTCCGATCGCCGGCGGCGGACCTTTCAGAGCAGTCGACGCCGGAGAGTGTGTTTTGTTGCGTTGATGACGGTGGCGGTCCGTCGGCGGTTGACTCCGGCGATGGTGATTTTGCGCCGACGGTGGGGGTATTAGTGTGAAAGAATCCTCCGTTGTAGTAGAAGTTAAACAAATAACAGGGGCAAAAATGTCATTTTAACTTAAAATACGGGCGGCAAATAGTAAAGTGTCGGGCGGCAAATAACAACCCTCGCCTTACACGTCTTTTTCCTATTTGTGGACGTTAATCAAGTCAGTGGTGTCAAATGCCGCTCCGTATTGAAAGTTCTTGGTAAAGTGACCTTGAGTTCACACTTCCAAATCCCAAATGAAGTTTTTTTTTAAAACAAATCCCAATTAAAGTTTAAAACAACTTTATATATCAAATAATCTAAGGAGTTATGTTCTACTTCTTTACGCCATATGTTATGAATTAAAAAGGAGGGTTTAATTACACCTCAATGCTATTATTAAGGGGTTAATTGCATGGTTGGTCACTGAGATTACAAAAAAACGTTCACGTTTGGTTACTCGAAATATTTAAATCCATTGATGGTACTTCAGTTTACTGAAATCGTTCACATTTTGTTACTCTCCGTCCAACTCCGTTAATTTTTGCTTATGTGGCGGTCAACTGTAAAAGTTGATCGCTAAAGGTGTGACGTGGCAATTTAAAATTAATAAAATAAAATTTTTTAAAATTTTCATCTCTTCCCTTTTCGAGTTTTGACCGCCTTGGGCAGACAGAGAATGGTCAGTAATTGACTAATTTCTTGTTCGTTTATTAATGAATGTACCATGGAACTCCAATGTATGCTCCATAATTTGTAAATTGCTTTCGTTGGTCTCGAGCATAGGGATCGATTGATCATCAGTACGCTGTTCTGATAATTCGATTTACTTTCCAGCTGGAGGAGCAGCTGGCTGTGCTGCATACATACTTGGAGAATGTTAGTTGGGAGAGGAAGGTATAATGGAAGATCACCTCCGGATGGCGGTTAAGGAATGCAAGAACTTGGATTTGTTGTTGGCAGAAGCTGAAGATGAAGGCGACAAGTTGATAACCAAGCTTGAGTTGATGGAGAGGGAGGTAGTTAATTGGATTTGTGTATGAATAACAGCCAGTACTACTGCTTGTGTTGATTTTGCCTAGTTAATTGTGACAGTAGTTAAACAATAGCAGTTGCCAAGATCATTGAATTAGCTTCTTCTGTGCGCGGTTTTGAGTAGTTGCATACTTTGAAAGTCGAGAATCATCAGTTAAAGATAATTAACCAGCTACGAAGCACCTTGGGAGGCAATGCAGGGGAGGAGAATCGGAGGAAGCACATTTCTGATGATATTGCTGACAGTTATGAACAACCAGGAGATTCAGACGTGGGTGATGAAGTAGTGTTGTTGGAGCAGATAGACTTGGCAGTGTCGCAGACGTTGGGATCAGTATGCAAGCCGTGGCGCAAACTTCACCGCGCAGCTCGTCGCCAGCCGCCTTGTAGGCCATGCCACCGTTGCAGAGATCCTGCACCGGAAAACACCAGAACTCGTCGAATTGACGACCATTCCTCATCGCGTTTGCCAAAAATTGTACGGCCAAATCATTGTTTACGCCTGGCCAAGCAAGTTGTGGCTTCTGAAGGTTCCCCGGCCGCGAAATCACTAGCTGCTTCAATCCCTTTCTTCTCCAAAGCAAAAGAGAAGCTGTAATGGAAGCGGCAGCGACGACGGGTATGCTGTGGGCGGAGTATTGGTATTGGAGATTAGAAGAAATTAGAATTTTTTTTATTTATTTTAAATAAAAGTGAAAATGAGTTGGAAATGAGATGGCAATTTTAAAAAAAATTATTTTTATTATTTTTAAATTGCCACTTTTAGAGTTGACCGCCACCTAAGCACAATTTAACGGAGTTGGATGGAGAGTGACCAAAAGTGAACGGTTTCAGTAAACTGAAGTACCACCAATGGATTTAAATATTTCGAGTGACCAAACGTGAACGTTATTTTGTAATCTCAGTGACCAACCATGCAATTAACCCCTATTATTAATTAATTATTCTATTGTTTGTTTCGGTGAAAAATTTTCCCGGGCAAAATACCTCGGATACAACTTAACTTTGAGAATTAAGGTAGACATACCACGTAAGTTTGAATAGGGCGTAGGGTACCATTAAAGTCGCCAAAATGTGCATCCGTCTACTTTTACATCCAAGCCAAATTTTTAATTACTTTTTGGTACCCAAAACTTTTAAAAACATCCAAAAATATATTTCAACAAGTTTTATCTAATATAAAAATTAGAAAACCTTCTAAACATATTATTACTATAATGGCTAATCAAGATTTTTCAATAAAATAGATAAATTAGTAAAATTAATTAATGAATATTAAAACAATAATAAAAATACTAGAATGTAATAATAAATATTAGAATATCTATTTAAACCCCCTAATACAATTAGAAGTACAATTAGAAAAAGTTAAAATAGAACTTAATCGATCATCAATACATCAAAACTAAAAAAAGATAAACGAAACATAATTAGAAAGAATTAAACATATTCTTGTTTGAAAAAAAATTTAGAATGAAAAAGATGGAAAGTAACCAAATAATAAATAAACTATAAAAGCTACAACATTTAGTAAAAAATGTAGAAAAACAATATGACTACAGGAAGAGAATTAAAATTAGTAAATGTAACTAATATGGAACATCTGCAATATAACATTAGAGAATTAAAAAGAGATGTAACATGGAAAATTAGACAACATCAGCATGATGTAAAAGAACTAAATATAACATCCTCAGATTATTTATATAGAGATATAATTCATAGGATATTTTTGCTTCAGAGAATTATTCAATTATTAGAACACATAATAATGATATTTGATTCTAAATTTTCTATTCAAAAATTGGTTTGGTATCAAAGTCTTCAGAGGATTCCAACTAAACATAATTCATAGGATATATTTGCTTCAGAGAATTAATTAAATTACTAGAACACATAATGATTATTGAAAATTCTTATAATGACAATTTATTCTAAATTTTATATTTAAAAATTGGTTCGGTATCAAGTATTCAAAAGAAGATTCCAACTAAACAATAAAAAATGATTTTTTTATAAGTCCAAATGATTTTTTTACAATAAGAAAAGTAGAAAGACCAATTATAAAATTTTGAAAACGGAATATTTAATGGAATGCACTTAGCAATAAACTTAAGTGGTACAGGGTGCACATATAATATAGTTTAGTGGTACGCGATGCCCTATTCTTAGTTAAGTGGTATAGCTCCCCCATTTCGCATACTTTAGTCATACCCGAGGTATTTTACCCAAAAATATACCTGCCTTTGTTGATCCATGGCTCATGTACTACCTACGGACAAGTTGAGCACTTCATAACCTTAGCATTTCAACTTCATAACTTAAGCAAAGTAACTATGAATTATGTATCCTATGTGTACCTTAATATCCATTGTTATATACTAAAATCAATGATATCATTACTTACAACTTTATAGTAATAACTAGATTTGGGCCTGTCTGTTGGCCGGATGAATTATATCAATAATATACAAAATAATAGTAATTACTCAAATTATTTATTTAGTACCATGAAAAAACCCAAATTATTCAGTTACTAAACATATATATATATATATATATATACCCATATATATGTATATATAACATATATCATAAGTTTTACAACATTTTGATCATTCATGGACAAAAGTCTTTATCAAAAGTAAACACCACAACTCATGCCGGAATTCAATTTCTAAAAACTAAATATTTGATACGCACTTCATCTGTTTAGTATTTGATGTTAGAAATTACTGTAAATTTCCTTTTGGATTTCTTTTGGATTGCTCCGCCATCAAAAGCATCTTATCAACACAATTTCATATTCATTACTGAAACTTCATATTCAGCATAAAAAATCTCTTCCTTCTTCTCCTACGTTACATTAAAAATCAAATTTTAATGTTGAAATGTTTGAACATGTGAAACATCTTTTCACGATAGTATAATTTCACCTCATCCAAATCATAAATATCATCAACCATTCACTCCTTACTCCCATCTTTGAAATTTTTACATGCTCCATCAATAATATTTTCCTTTATCTCAATAACGTAATTATCTACATCACTGAATTCACTACCTCCGTTGTTAACATACTCTTCCTTCTACTCCCGCATTTCACTGAATGCAAAAATCTAATGGCAACATTATTAGAATTGTGAAACTTTATTTTCAAGAACTTAAATTTACCAAGTATATGTCATGAACTTTCTATGAGATTGTTGTTCTTCATCCTTAAGTATCTTCAAAACATGTACCCACGAATGGGGTTCGTGTATGTTGTAATCGGTGAGCTTGAGCTGAAATCAACTTTATGCTCTCAGTTTGGATGGGTTAAGGAGGTGAAAGTTCTCTCATTTTATCAATATATTTGAGTAGTTTCTCTGAACACATTCCAAAAGATCGCTCCTTCGCGATACAAACAAATAAAGCTAGATTAAACAATGTTGTCTATAACATGCACCTAGTCCTGAATCTATAAAATAACAACAATTGAGATACACTATTTGATCGATTTTTTGTTTTGTTTTAGTGGGTACTTTGTTTTCTCTCTAATGAATGAACTTGAAGTTGAAAACAACAAAAGAGTAAAGGTAAATTGTTAACCTAACTACTATTGTCTTTGATGTTGTTGTATACTTCTTATAAAATTACTCATTGTAGTCTTCTTCAACTTTCTTTGGAAAGTTTCAATTCATATGTTTTTCTAACCCAATTCTTTTGAAATAAGAGTTGAGAAGAATGAGATCTAATTTGCTGAATTTGTGAAAATTTGGAAAGCTCTAAATTATAGCTCGGGATATGTGCCAGTTGTAACTAAAGGAGGATACGTTATATATGCACCAAAATTTCATCCATTTTACTTAATTGTTTGAAGGTCGTATTGGAGTCTGGAGCACTGTTTTGTCAATTAGATGATTCTCCAATGTGAATATTTTTCGAGGCAAAGAATGAAATATATACTAATGAATAACCATATCAATTAACCTAAGAAATCAAAATAATACTGAAATAGGTATAGCAAAACAAAGTAATATGTCAGTGCTAAAGGAAGTTTTATAAGAATTATCATCGCACTAATATAATTTTTCCACTAATATTTTATCAAAATCAATCAAAGTTATGAATAATGAAAGAAAAAGGAGTTTGCAGTTTGTCATATGGTAAAAGAAAACTATATATAAAAACCTAGGTCTAAGGTGGTATGATCTTTTAATTTATTTTATCATTGTTCGGAAAAATAACCTATGAAATAAATTATCTAACTACTCGTTTTAAACTTTGAACTTCTGATCTCTAAATGGGGATTGTAATATAAATTTCATCGATCTAAGAAAAAACTAATATCTAAAAGAAGAAATGAGGGATTAACTTATAATTAAACACTTAATTAAAGAATCACTTATAATTATATTCATAAACCTCATCACCCTTTCAACTCCTATTAAGGCGTTGAATTATTTCATTTTGTATATGTTTTATGGAAACCCTCAAAGTTATAATTGAAAATTATTTGATTTAGTTAATATTTAAAAAATTAATTATTTAGTTAAGTTACACATATAAGAATTTGTCTCAAACACTTATCTTATAATAAAAGGAAATAAAATAAACAAACTAAACCTTATAAGAATTTATCTCAAACGTAACCATCTTTACTACTAAAAATAATAATATAATAATTATTATTAGTTTCAAAATGTTCTACGGAATCTATTCTCTATTAGTATAATCAACATAATCTCGGGTTTCTAATAGAGTGGGTTTATATTAATAAAATTGACTAAAATGTCCTTTCTAAATTTACTTAGAAGGCTCGAAATTTAGAATTAACCATCTCCTCATAAAGAACCTCTTTATATTAGTATTAGGATTAGGATTAGGATTAATAACTTTATGTCCCGCCGCGAAGCGCAGGCTTCCGCATTAAAAATAATTAAAGTTTCCGTCTTTAAAAATAAGAATGCCTGGTTCATTCTTTCTTTCTCTTCGTTTTGTGGTAATTTTTTTGCCTGTAATTATATAATACTTTTATCGGCAATTCCATATAAATGCCACATTTGGTCACTGAGATTACTAAATCGTGTTATGTTTAGTTACTTTTTCAAAACTTAGTCAAGCCCAATGTTGTCAAAATCGCGCTTTAAAACTAAACAGCTTACGCTTTTACCTTTTTAGGTCACCAAAACGCTTCTACGTAGAATCTTGATTTTTCCATTACAAATGTAGTCAAAATATACGTTTCAAAACTTAATTGCTTACGATTTTACGCTTCTAGGTCATCCAACCGCTTCTAGGTAAAATCGCGCTTTTGACTTCCAGCTGTCACTAGCTTCTCTATAATTTTATCTCTTGGTCTGTAAGCTTAGTGTGTTGTTCACTATTGTCCTTATGGAACAATTAACAGCTAATAGATTCTGTTTCATCAGGGTTATCCTTCTTTTTTTTTTTAATAACATTTTCATTCATTCATTTCCAATTGAAGATAGCCACGATTACAACATATCAGATATTACATTGAGCACATGAATCCAATCATGATGAAGAGCATCAAGAAGACAATTCTTTGCCACCCAATCAGCACACTTATTATTTCGACGGCTGATGAAAGAGATCCTAATCCTTTCCTCTAGATGCATGATTCTTTTGATAGCTTCTAGTGATGCATAACATCTCCATGGCCATGTCGA